CATATGGCATGTGTGCTGCAGCGGGCTGTTTGTATCACTGAAAGCTCTAAAAGGTTTGCCTTCCCTGCCCTAGTCTATGGGACAGGGACTCTCTCTAACTAGTTCCATATTTCTGACACCTAACATAGTGCCTGACACTCAGTAGGTGCCTGAAAAGTATCTATTGGTGTCACAGAACATTGATAGTGCCCTGGGGATAAAATTCCCTCTCACCCTAAATAAAATCCTTACAAATTCTCAGAAACCTCTTTTACTAATAAAACAAATATTTTCACTGTTTAAAAATCACCTATATAAAGTAGCCCCTAGTACTCTCCGGTTTAGGAGTATAAAATAGATGGAAAAGGAAAATTATATTAAGTTTTATGTAAATAGAGGTAACTGTAAACAAAGACAAGCACCAACCATTCATTGATGTGACAAGACCAACTAATAGAGATTTTAAAAACAAATAACAAACTAAAAGTGATATTGGGCGATTTTTTTAAAGTACACTTTTCACTACTTTACTGAGACTGCCATAGCAAATTATCACAGAACAGGGGCCTTGGAAAACAGAAATTTATTTGTTCACAGTTGTGGAGGCTGGAACTCCAAGACCAAGGTGCCATCAGCTTTGGTTTCTCCTGATGCCCCTTTCCTTGGCTTGAGGTTGAACACTTCCCCACAGTGTCCTTATGTAACCTTTCCCTTTGCCTGTGTATGCCTAGGGTCTTTTCCTCTTCCTAACAGGAAACCAGTCATATCGGCTTAGAGCCCCACCTTTCTGATTTCATGTAACCTTAATTATGCTTCAAAGACCCCATTTTCAAAGTTACTCACATTCTAAAATACTGGAGTGCTGGGACTTCAACATATGGACTTGGGGCGAGGCACATTGAGTCACTTCACTATTGAATCCACCAAACTGTACGCCATTAGTATTTTTAATGTGTAGGCTAAGATTTAATGGAATGCATGACCTTCATTGTAACATATTGGGTTGTTAAAGTCAAGGTCTTGATAAAAGAATTTGAAAAATCCCTAAGGCAGCCATTATAATGATAAGTTTTTCATTATTCATGAAGATGGCCATTTTATGATTTTCTGTCTTTTGCAAGGAAAAAGGCCACAGTGTTAAACTTTTTAAGAGTTAGTCTATTTCCTTCCCCATTCTTTAGTTCCATAGAAATACTGCCCCGGCCCCAGTAGCACTTCACTCCTTTCTACCTCATCTCTTTTGTGCTCATTTACTTCTAATTGCCTGAACAGTGTTCTAACCCCATAGCATTTCACTCTCAACCACCTGCAAAAGATAGGCAATCATCTGAAACATAAATCCTTCACTTAGGTGTTAACTAATAATACCTTCTTCTTAGGCAGTAATCCTCCCTCTAGTGACCTGCATTTTAACAGAATGTACATGAGACAAAAGGGATTTAAGATTAATCTCTAGTGATAAATTTCCTGTCCTCATCAAAACAAATAGAAAAATATTGGAGGAAAATGAAGAAGCATTTCTGGTACCTTTTGGATTACTATAGAATTCAGAACAGACCCGTAGAGAAATCAAAGAAATGTGAACAAACCCTGTGTTCGCAATTTAGTAAGCCCTTCCTCAGCTGGGGCCACTTGGGTTTCTCAGAATGCCATTTGAAATCACTAGCAACAGACACTGACCATGCATTTAAGGGAGAAGGTGAGGAGCTTGGAAAATAATGAATTTTTCTACTCAGACATATAGTCAACACAGCAGCCACTTTTTAATTCATCATAGTCTTATAGCAAGATTACTGATTATAAAGTCCTAAAACAAATAGGTAGGGCTAGAGAAACTGTTGGAATTGGTATTTACTTTAATGATTTAGGGATTATTGGTCATTCATTTTCAACTATTTATAATGGAAGTCTTGAAATAATGGAATTCATCACAAGAATGCCTCATTCACCTTTGTATAATTTGAACATACTGGAAAGGCACATGTGGACTCATAAATTGTTCACATGCACAAAAGGGTAATACATCACCCCAGCCCTCATTCACGCTATGTTGGGGGAAGAAAGGCATGGAATATGAGTTATCACTTGCTAGACAGAATCCCATATCTTCACATCTTACATTGCCAGGAGGCTTTTTTTTTATATAACCTTCATATTATTTATACTGGCCTGTCATTCACAATAAAAGATACTTTTACCATGAGGATTTTTATCAAGTTTTAAGAAATTACTTATTTATCAAAACACACATGAGCATTTCTGACAAAGTCACTTTCAAGTAAACTGATCGTCATCCTGGGTTTGGAGCAAGAGCCCTGCTGTCTGCACAAACTGCTGAATAAAGCATATAGTGCAGAAAGAAATAAAAGACATGTTAAATCAAACTATATTGTCTCTCTGTATGGTTGTCATATGTTTGAAGCGAAGACAGTATAACTTTCTCCTTCTTACTGAATCTATGATAAGAAACTTAGTTATTTTTAACCTTCACAGAGTGCAGACATTGTCTTGTGAAGACAAATGTCTGCTTTATGCTTCAATTTTCCAGAAATAATTCTGCCTTTGACTATTAAAATGTCCTTATTCCAAGGCTAAATTTGTGTTTTGATTGAAATCTCGATCTATTTCAGAGGTGATATTACACATGATTGGAACCCTTTCTCCTAGAATTTTCTGTTTTGAATTTTTGTAAAATATCACATATTCTATGTAAATATCAATTAAGTACTCATGAAAAATGGTCTCTTTCATGTGGTTTACATCTTGGCTTCACTTCATGTATTTGGATTTCCCATTGTATTTTCAAGATCTTCTAGATCCTTTCTACTCAAAGTGTTCTTCTTGGACCATGTGAAGCTTATCAGAAATTAAGATTCTCGAGTCTCAACCAGCCCTATCTATCCCCACTACAGAATTTAGAAACTGCCTTTTTCATAAAATTCTAAAGTAATATGTTTATACTTAAAGCTTGAGAAGAATTGCTCTGGTTGGTTCAGATAGTTGATGATATTTTGAAAGAACCAGAATTGTTAATGAATCAAATAGGTTACCTAAGAGGCAAAATAATAATATAGTATTAACTAACATTTTTTGAGCATTTAATGTCCAGGAATAATGATACCTTGATGCTTTTCACATGTATTATCTCATTTGGGCAAAAGGAAAGAGGAGTCTCTTTATGGAGGATGGTCCTGTGAATTGGTAAACAGGGAAATTCAGTCATAGTACAGTTATTTATTGTAGCCCAGAGGAAAAGGCTAATCTCAGAGTGGAAGGGTTCAGGATTAAAATAGGTATAGCTTACATATGTGAGGGGTATAGACAAGAGTAGAGATAATGGAGACAGAAGAATCTGAATTCCCACAGAAAATACTATAAGTAATGGACTCAGCCAACCATAGAAGAGTGGAAGAGCTATTTGGATGTGACAGAGTTGACATGCATGAAATGATTTGCATGCATCTTACTTAGAACAAACATACACTGTGGTGTATGTTTACTATATATGCAATATACATGTACATAACTATTTATTGTGTAGATCTGAGCCTTTGAAATGGATAATTCTTGTAATCTTTATGTAGGCATAGGAATATATATTTTTAGTGTATACTCGTGAAAATTAAATTTCCTGTAAAAACAAAAGTGTAAGAGCCAATGAAGAAGAAAATAAGTATGTCGGGAATGAAGAAAACTAGTTTCTAATCTTGATTCTCACCTCATATACACCATAAAAACTGATAAGGAAACTAAAACCAATTAATCTGTTAACAAGATTGACAGAACTTTTTAAAATGGCATCTAAAACTTAGTCTTCAGTGAAAGGCTTCAAAAGACTAACTTTCCTGAAATGGGAAAGTGTATAATACTTCTACTTGGATTAGTTTTAGAGACTCAGACCAACCTTATTCTAGTGTAAATAGTTTCTATAAATTTATAGGAGACACTAAACAAATTAACATCAATGTCACTGGAAAATACAACTATAGCTCCCCTTCTTTTGAAGTAAATAAAGGCAAGTTCCTGGAAAGTAATAGCATAGATAAGAATTGTACTAGTTATCTATTACTGTATAACATATTACCCCAAAGCTTAGCAGCTCAATGCAACAAACATTTAGTATCTCACAGTTTTGTGGAGGAATCCAGGGGCTTAGTGAGATCCCTCTGGCTCAAGGATTTTAATGATGTTGCAACAAAGCTGTTGCTCCAGCCCTAAAGTTACCTGAAGGCTCTGCTGGTGCGGATTCACGTGATTGTCAGTGGCACACAGACCTACCCACAGGGCTGCTTTATAACACCACAGCTAGCTTCCCACAGGGTAAACAACCTAAGAAGGCACAAGAGAGGAAGCCCAACATGAGACCCATGATCTTTTTAACCTGCCTTTGGAAGTGATATTCCATTCCTCTTTCCATATTCTATTCATTGAAAGTGAGTCAGTAAGTCCAATCCACCCTAAAGAGGGGGAAATTACTGTATATAAGGATGTGATTACCAGCAGTGGACATCACTGGAAGCTAAATACAGTTGGTTTTTTCCTTTCTGCTTGCTTCCGTATTTTCTAACATTGATTTTGGACATGGATTACATGTGTAATGAGGAAATTAAAATATTAAAGGCAATTACAAGGGCCAGGGATTTAGCTCAGTGGTTTCGCTGCCTACCTCCCAAGTAAGTGCAAGGTCCCAAGTTTGACCCCAGGTACCAAAAAAAAAAAAAGGAAATTACATTTAAAATGAGGTATTCCTATGCCAGAAATGTTGATCAGAAAAGTCATTTCTTTTTGGAGGTCTCTTAGTAAGATGATTGAATTGACAGAACACAGGATTTATTATTGACCTTCCTGCCCACAGATTAGTTCATATCATGAAATCCAAGCTGGGGATCATTAACCTAACAGGGTTTTGTATAGCTTGCAAATTTTTGGCATTGAAAAACTGAAATGCCAAAACCCCCAACAATGATATGCATGTACTAATCTTCCCTATTGTCTAAATCTCCTTTCTTGGTTCTCAACAGTATGCTTGAGAGTTCCAACCGGCTTGATGAAGAACACAGGCTGATCGCCAGATATGCAGCAAGACTGGCAGCAGAATCCTCCTCGTCTGTAAGTACTTTGAGTGAAAGGATTCATCTGTTGGCATCTTGCATCCTTGAATTTCATCTGTCACATCCGTTGTTATCTTGAGAGCTGATGCTAATTAGCAAGACAGTGCTGGTTTGTTGTTCGTGTGTTTGTTGCTATATTTATGGCATCTTGGTAGTGAATTCCTGGTTTGAAAGTAGCAGACTTGAGGAACAAAAGATCTATGGTAGTGTGACACTGAAATTGAAACAGAAGCCCCACACCCCACTTTACCCAATTTTGTCCCCATACGAGGACCTATAGAAAGGGATGACAACTGGTTATGATTCCTCAATAGGTTTAAATAAGATATATTTAGCAAAGACACTAAATCTAGGGCAGAATAATCACTAGTGAGGGTGAGTTGTGATTGATGCATCACAAAATACAATGAGCTGAGCAGGAGGGGAGCAAATGGGGAAGCTGTTCCGTCCTCTCTCACCTGGGATGTCCCCTTTATCAGACCCTTCATGTCAAGCATTTAACTAACAATCTCAAATGGGAACCATGACCCATTACTCTCTGATATCAGTGATTGTAGCATTAGAAACTACCGTGATCCAGATGGAAAGGAATTTGGGGCAGGCTAAAATTGTACTGTGTGGCCTAAAAATCAGGCATGACATTTACAAATCAGATCCTTTACCTTAAAATTCTAGATTTCCAGCTTATCTTGAAAGACTAACAATACCAAGTCCATGTCACTCACAGCAGCATGCAACTGGAGTAGAATTACTCTGCCACCTTTGGACAAGACAAGGGGTCACCATTTACCCCCAATCCCCACCCTTGGTCCCCCTCTTTCACTTAGGTCACCTCCCTGGCTCTATTCAACATTTGAACTAATGACCCCTAATGGGGTACACTAACTTCTCTGGCCTTTGTTCTTTCTTTTTCTTAAGAACATAAGTTACTTGTGTTCTTTGCCTATTTATATCATATAACAACCTTTGTAAATCTGTCACAGTGAAGACATTCTCATACTAATTCTTCTTCCTCTGTCGATGTCTTCATAATCACATTCTAAGAATGTTACCATTAGCTAAATAAATCATAATTGGAAGATGTCACCAGGCTACAAATGTCTTTTACTTGAATCCATTTACGTAGTAAAGTCCTACATCTTTCTTCACTGTGGTCTTCTCTTGGATCTATTCTGTTTCCTATTGGATCCTACCTTTCTGTCCCTCACCACTCCATACCCTGTGGATTAGCCATTCCAAATACACCATGCAAATGCCTGGAGTCTAACAGATTACTTCTCCACCTCACTTAAGGAGGCAACTCAATGCCATGTCCTTAATATTCCTTCCCTAACTTTGTAATGTGACCATGTTTCTTCTGTGCTTCTTTTGAATTGTGTGCAAAGCCCACCCACAGTAATAATCATACAAGTCACATTTATCTGTCTTTTGAGGACAAGCAACATATATTTTTATAGGACATCTGCCATAGTATATGCTATATAGTAGATGCTGAATTTTTCTAAATGTATTGAACAGAAGAATAAATCAATTTTGCCTGTTTTGGGCAGTCTAAAACTTAAGGAAATTTCATCCAGATAAGAATGTCCTCAAATTCAAACCTTGAGTCTGAAATGCTTCCTAAAAGACAGTAAAATAACCAATAAATTTGGTGAACATTTTTCTCAATCAAATGAGAATATGATTAGTCAGCAAGCCAGATCTGGTCTTCAAGAATATTGGATGGGCCAGGGATTTAGCTCAGTGGTGCCATTGCCTTCCTCGCAAGCACAAGATACTGAGTTTGATCCCTGGTACAAAAAAAAAAAAAGAATATGGGACCCTTCCATAGCCTATAGTTATTAAAGTGTAATTGGCTTCAAAAGCCATATAAAGATGTAATCTTGGATTTCTTGATAGCTACAAATTGAGACATGGCTGCATAAAAATAGGGGGATTGAGTGCTTCTCAGTGCCTTCTGTATAACTGTGGTCCTTCTTAGACTTGGGGGCTTGGGTGACAAGATCAGGAACCCATATAATATGTTTCCAGTGTGGTGATCTTATATCTCTTATGAATAATATTCTGAAAATCTATTTTCCTCTCTCTGTTTCTTTTCTGTCTCTAGTTCTCTCTATACCATCAGTTAAAGAAGTTAAATCTAATTACATGTTCAAAGTATATGGACACAGTAAGGATTAATATCTCCCCTTTGTTTCTTTTTCTTTTCCTTCTTTTTCTTACTCTTTCTATCTCTATCTTTTGCCTCTCTTAGTCTACCTATTTTTCTTTTCTTCTCTATTTCAAATTTCCCATTGTTCCTCCTTTTTTTAGTTTTCCCAATAAGACCTATTATATGGAACTAACCTACCATTTATTACTTTTTATATTTATTGACTACTTAAAATTCTTACTTCTAATTTTTAAAAGCAAATAAAAGCAATATATTTTTAATCTTCAAAGAAAGATAATGTTTCTTATTATTTATGGCTTGATATTGTTTTTCCCCTACATTGGCTACTATTGATTTAAAAATAAAATAAAAAGAAATTTCTTAACCCTTCATAGATCAACATACTACTCAACCCAATCCAATTCATTTTTATACATATAAACTAAGAGAAATTTTTACATTTTTTATTGAAGAAAAATCAAAAGAAGAATCATATTTTGGTCAAGAAAAAATTACATGAAATTCAAATTTCAGTGTTAGAATATTATTAAAATATTACCACCTTCCTTGTTGACAAATTATGTATGCCTATTTCCTTGCTACAGTAACAGAGCTGAATAGTTGCTGCTGCTGTTTGGTCTGCTCACATATTTTCACTTTTTAATTACTATTCTAGTACAGCAAAATCATAGCTTAGGGTATTCTGGTTATATTGCTGGGCCCACTCATTGCATGATTTTTTTTGGGAAGTCCTGATCAATTAATGTGAACAGCAAAGCCATGCCTGAAATCAACAGTCTTTTGTCTATACACATAATGTATGCAAGAAAGAGAAATTTGTATAGTGAAATCACAAGAAAAACCTGGATCACAGGTCAAAGCTGCCATGTGCCAAACATAGCTATAGAAAGCAAGTTAGGGTGTAGAACACAGGACCTCAAAATTCTTCATCAGCAACACAAGTTATTTGTCAAAAATGAATACAAAACAAAAATCATAGAAGAGTGTTTTTGAAAGTCAGGCTTTTACCAATCTGCAGTTTCTGGACATTAAAAAACAGGCTGAGTTTCTCCATGTCTTTTGGCTTAAGCAGCAGGTTACACATTCCTTAGTAAAAAAAAAAAAAATTGTGATTTTTTTTAAATAAAACAATAAAAAATGACTTGGAGGAATTTCTATAATGTACAAGCAAAATAAGGAAAAAAGCAAGACACAGAGAGGTGTACCTAATCTAATCTCATTGTATAAAGCAATGCCAAATAAGCCCACATAAATAAATCCACGTACACCAATATTTTGAATAAATCCACATATACCAATATTATGATTTTTTTATGGTATGTGTGTGAGAATGAAGAAAGCTATGCTCCATATATATCAATTATTAAAACTAGTTTCATGATTGAGGACAGTGGGTTATTGTGGTATAAATGTAGAACAATAAAATGTATATGAATCTATTAGAGTAAAATTAGACATAGGAATAAAGAAGTGCATAAAATCATGCTGACCAAAAGAGTCTTATTAACTGTCTTTAGAACTATGAAATTTTTATCAGAAATTTACTTTTAATTTTTAAATATATTTTTTAAATTGATACACAATTGTTCATATTTATGGAATACAGTGTGATATTTTAATACATGTATATAATATGTAATAATTAGATCAGAGTAATTAGCATATCCATCATCTCAAATATTCATCATTTCTTTGTGTTGAGAAGAATCAAGATCCTCTGTTCTAGCTATTTTGAAATATACTATAAAAATGATGGAAGGAGCAGGGAGGGAGGGGGAGATCAGGAGAAAAATCAGAAAAGAGACAAAAAAGAATTAAGATCTATTATGTACATGTTCCAACTCCCCATGATAATTGTAATTATTATGTATTACAAACATGTACTAATAATTTTTTTAAATGATTGAACAATAATTCTACAGAAAGAGCCATCTTAACAATAAAATGGTTTTAAACCCACCTACACTGAGAGAATAATTGCAATGGGGATAGGATTGCAAGAATGAAATAGCTTCCCAAAGACTTCAAATCGGGAAGCTGAAAAGCAATTTTTCCTATGTTTTGTGTATTTGCTTCCCAAAGAATTCTGTTCTGTTTTTCCACTGTTCTAGATCTGCAGGAAAAAAAAATTGGTTCTTCTGAAAGAGATAGCAATTTAATTTTATGTGTTTTCCCTCATTTATTTTGCTAGAAAGATTCCTCTTCCTTGTTTGCATATCTAATGACTCCTGTCTTCCCAAACACACATGGGTTCACATTCCCAATGTTAAATCATGTAAACTACATATTTTACAGCAGCCAACTCAACAGAGAAGTGCTCCTGACATCTCCTTCACCATTGATGCAAATAAGCAACAAAGGCAGCTGATTGCAGAACTAGAAAACAAGAACAGGTAAGGCTTTATAGATGTGTTGGCTTTTTCATCAATTTACGTGTTCATCAGTACAGCTGTGTTTTAAAATCTCCATGATTTTCACTGTATGTACATATTTACAGAAAGTTGGCTTCTGAAAAGTTGATTTTTACCTCTTTAGATATACAGAAGCTTCATTTAAAAACTATACACGACCGTCCTCTAGATAGTCTTGCTTCCCTTTTTCTGACACATTTATTTCTATAACAAGCTGTAGAACAAGTATGGCCTTCCTAGGAACCAGGCAGTGTTCTTCTGACAACTAGTTACAAGCAGAAGACTCACCTGAGATGCTTCCTGTAAGGACCCAAACAAAAGAGGAACTTAGATCAACAACACTGTCACCCAACTGTTCAACACAAACATCTCCATGTCCACTCCATCAGCAGGTCCTCTCTCTGTTCGACAGATTGATTCATAGCAAATCTGAAACCTGTTCACCTCATCTCTACCACCAGCTCCCAGTCCAACCTGTCATTTTTTAAAACAAATTCTATCATGTTATTTATGAAAATCATATGATGAGTTTCCAGTACACTTTGCTTAAAATCCACTCTTATTACTATGATCCGCAAGGTCCTACCTCTCCTGCCGACTACCTGCCTTTCAGCCACAGCTCCACTTGCTCATCACACTCCAGCCTCTTGTGGCTTCTTCCTGTCTTACACCCTTTGCTTTGATCATTCTTTTCAACCTAGAAAACTCTTCCTGTAGGTTCCAGCAGGATGTTTCCTCATCAACCAAGTCTCAGTTTAATGTCACCTCCTAAAGACCTCCCATCTAATCTTGCCCACTACTTCCTATTCCAGCAGCTGTCTGTTAGGTCCTCTGTGTGTGTGTGTGTGTGTGTGTGTGTGTGTGTGTGTGTGTGCATGCGCTACCTATCACTATCTGAAATTATCTTATGTAGGTGTTTGCTTCCTTGTTTATTGTTTGTCTTTTCTGATTTAAAATGGGAATTCTTTAAGAACAAAGGCCATGCCAAATTCCCTCTGTGTCCCAGAACCATGCCTGTAATATTGCAGATGCTCGTTAAGTATATGCTGAATGATAAAATAATGAATGGCTGAGTCACATCTGAAACTCAGTCCTGAGTAAGCCCATCATAGGAAAAACTTGTACATTATATATTTCTAAGAATAGAGCCAAACTATCTTAATGTTCAATCCCATTCTTAAACACTGCTGTCACTTTTGAGATTATAGCAGTAAAGGAAAAGAGTATGATAATTATTTTCTGCCTGGAGAGCCTGACCTGAGAACTTTGGGATAAATTATCAAAATATACTTTAAAGTTTTACAGATAAAAGTTAAAAGGTAAGTATCGACTCTGTTGACACATTTTCATATTTTTTTTCTAGCAAAATGACTTTTGGCTTTATCTTCCTAAGACCTGGCTCCAGTCATTAGGACACAAAGTAAAATTAAAATATCTTAATAAATGTGACATCATGACTTCAGAGTCTCTAAAACTATGCTGACCCCCTAAAAAGAAGTGTTATGTGTGACCCCCCTCAATTTGCCAAGTAGTAAGCAGAAAGAATTAAGAAGGCAGAAAGTGGAAGCAAGGTGAAGAATTAGGTCAAAAATAGCCAAACAAATTGGAATTTGTTCCAGATGGTGGCAAATCTGTGAAACTGCTGATTCTATTTTATAGAACATTTATTATATCCACTGAGTGAAAATAATCCTGCTAAGTCAGGAAAGGTGTTGAGAGAAGGGAGCAATTTCAAATGATCAACGACATTTAAAATCTAGTAGGAGAAACAATTCAAAGAAAGGAAAGGGGCACTTCTGGAGCCAGTGTGAAATGGGAGCAGAGTCAGGCAGCCTAAGCATTTGAAATGAATAATGCAGAAGAACCACCTAGGTCCCTGGAATGGCTCTATGACCATTACCTGTTATAGGAAGAAGGAAAATATAAGCGCCATTTTCACATGTTGCTTTACATCAATCCAGGTACCAGAAAAGGCATGGAAAGAGAGAAAAAGAAAAGAAAAATGGGCCAGCTTTAAATTCTTGATTTAATCTAGAGTTTCAACTCCTTTAGAACAAAACCTTAGCAAATATTAGAATTGGAATGTAGGTCGTGTTTTTTTTCTGTTTATTCAACAAAGTAAACCTATAACACGTAGTATAAAAAAGTTATTCAAAATTAGTCAGAATTCATGGATGTAAAATACATCAGTGAGTGTCTTATAATAGTCAACAGAAAGAGCTAAAGGAGAAAGGGGGCAAGGATGAGGGAAAATGTATTGTCTGATCTAGAACTGGAAGACTATGCCAGCTGAAGGCCTGATTAAGCTGTACCCAAGGTGAGGCCTCTTTCTCAAGAACAAGTTGGCTTTCATTTAGAACTTCTCACAGAAATCATCAGTACCCTCTTTCCCAACTCTTAGTCTCTTTTCTCTAAAACATACAACTGTGATTCCATGTACTATAATTCTAACCACAAAGGAGCTCTCCAATGAGGAAAGGTCCAAAGTTCAGATTATTAACACACAACTCTAGCTTCCAGGCACAGGAGAAACCTGGGTCTTTCTTTTGAGGTGTTGGGGAGACAATAATGACAATCATATATGTATAATGCACTACTACAACTGTGTAGTGTTTCATCGCATCCTCAGAACAACTATTTGGAGTAATAGGGTGACTATTGTCATCCTCACTGTACAGATTAAAATTAAAAGTTGAAATGTCGTTTCTACCCTTTTTCAGCCAAATGACTCGCTTCATCACCATTGTGCTCTAGGTTGTGTTGGATAAACTTGATGGAGAATGCGGAGTTTTAGCTGAACTTTTCAAGACAGTTCAATTAGGCAGTGGAAGACATAGTTACAGGTACAATTACACATAGATCCGGGGAAAAGTGATGAAGACAATTGCTAGACTAATGCCCAGTGAGTTGAGATAAAAAGTAAAAGGAAATTGTCAATATATAAGGCTTTACACTAGGCCAGAGAATTTGAATTTTATCCTTTCATAATAGACAGAAGTAATCAGGTAAGTGACAGACTGTCTGCATATTTATGGTAAAATAATTAGCTTATTAAATATGCAGATTGTATCTATAAAGGGTTAACTAGAAGCTGGGAAGTGATGAGAACTTATGTTAAATAGATGATGCCAGAAATTGGATTAAAAAAAACCAAAACAGGAAATGCTAGACAAAAGAATAAATATTTCTGGAATGTTATTTTATGAGAGTCTATTACTCCCTTTTAAATTTTCTATTAGGGCTTCCAGACTTTGTACGAGTAATCTTCACACAATCCAGATTTCACTAGTGACTCTCTTTTATTTCACTTTGTTGTTCATTCCTTCTTCCTCTCCATCTGTCCTAATATCAAATGAGGAAAAAAGTCAGGACTTAGGGGTGGGAATAAGGTAGTACAGTACATCTTATGCAGAGTGCATAAGAGAGGAGGACACACTTCCAATGACCTAACTTACTTCCACTAGGCCCCACCTCCTAAAAGTCCCATTACCCTCCTAATAGCACTGGCTACCAAGCCTTTAACATGTGGGCCTTTGGGGGTCATACAAGATCCATACTGTAGTAACATGTCAGTGATAATAACCTTTAGAAGACAATGTTTCCTTAGAACCCTTCAGGAGCCCTAGTGTTCAGGAGGTTAGTGTTAAGAGTAAGAGGACTCTTCAAATTACACTGTATTAGTCACAGCCTGCCTAGGCTAAATCAATCACATTAAATACCAGAAACCAAGACAGTCTGATACACTGGATTTGGAGCTACCTAGCCTGAGTTCAGATCACCTAATTGTTACTGAACTTGAGAAAGTCTTTTAACTGATATGTGCCTTGATTTCCTCATTCATGAAACAGAGACAATAGTAGTACCTGCATGTCATAAGATGGTTATAAAAATACATAAAAGAAGACAGCACAGTTCTACCAGTGTACATTATGTATTTTTCATTATTTTTTTTCTTACCAGACCTGCTTCTCTCTCTTCCTTTCTTGGGCTAAGTGGCTCTGTCATTGTCTCTGCCACCTACAAGGAGAAATGACGGGAGGCATAAAATGCCAGGATGCTGGTATTAGAGGAAATCATGGAAACCTCAGTTCTCTTATTTTCAAGCTGAGCTCTTTGGTAGCCTGGGAACCCAGCAGAAGCACCTGGAGAGCAGCATAGTGGTCCCCTTTCTTATTACAGAAGCTCCTTCATAACTGCTTGACATGGGAGATGGGTTTCTATGGATGATTTCTTTTAAAGAAAGATTTCACCCTTTGTACAATAAGGAGTCCAAAAAAGACGGAAGCCCACCCACTTATAGTCCACCCTTCTCCCCATACCTGTGGAAAATGTAATATTCACGGTAATTATGCTTCTGATTTCACTGTGTTTGTGAAGCAGGCAGCTATAAGTCAGCATTTCCAATGCAAAACCATCAAACTCCTTTCTTTTGGTTATTGTGAATTATGTAATAAAATTATCATAAGCTATAGTCTTCCTCCTACTGTGCTATATAGAACACAAGAACCTACCCCTTACTAAATGTATTTTGGTACCAGTTATTCCAACTGAGAATTTAAAGGGTCCCAACACAAAGAAATGCTAATTATCCTGATTTGATCATTACATGTTGCATACATATATCAGATTACCATATTGTATCCCATAAAGATGTACAATCAGCCATCTCACTTGCTTACCCAGTTTACCTCCTATCCTCATGCTTTGTTCTGTCCTGTGCATTTTCCAGCGTAGGCGACTGATACCCACAACATCCAAGAATATGTGACTTATAACCTTGCTTAATGGCTTCTTATTCACTTAGGGATAATTTGCCTTGTGCTGGTCGCATATCATTTATGGCCAGGCTGATGTTCACCCAAATGCAGGGCAGCCCAGGCCCCAACATCAATAATAGGCGGACATGTCTCACCCAGTGACAGAGGTCACAGGAATAGCATTCTATGTCACAGACTCAATTACAGTGAATCCTTTTAAAAGCACTTTCTTTCTAAGGATTCCTTCATTGAGATCCATTGTTAAGGCTGAAAAATGATAGGAAAAAAGAGAAAGAATTTTGCCTAATGGGGATTCACAGATAAATTCAGTGAGAAGAATTTCATTCTTGGTGAGAGAATGAGGTTATTTAGTTTTGTGTAACAAGCACCCTTTATTCTTATTTTCCCCCTAAGCACCTCTTACTTGGTAGCTGCAGGCACTTTATGGTGTCAGAGTGTGATCATAAATAATAGGAAGATACATTTTTGTCTCTTAAGCAATGCACTCATCAAAGTTGGACACATTACTACAGCGCTACATGACTTACTAGAGAGATGGCTAGGTCCTGGTGTTAATTCTCAGGGACATCTTGCAGAGCCTTCTTTGTGGTGCTGGATATGCTGGAGATGAAATCAGCCTGTCCCTCACCCACAGCACCAAGCCAGCTCCAGCCTAACCTCAGAAACACAGTCTGTTGGTTAGTGAAGGTTGGTTCTGCCTCTACAAACAGGATGCTCCCTTCTCTCTCTGTACTGGGGCCCAGACTTGCTCAGATGTTAGTGTCCTAGAAGTTAGCTGACCCTGGTTTCTCACCTTTCTCCTCTCTCCCAAGAGAAATCTTACAGGAGATCCAGAGGCTTCGGCTTGAGCATGAGCAAGCTTCTCAGCCCACTCCAGAAAAGGCACAGCAGAACCCCACGCTGCTGGCAGAGCTCCGGCTCCTCAGGTAAGAAGGGCTGCCCAGTCATCATAGGGAATACAGACATTTGAGGTCTTTAACACATCTGTGTCCAGCCAGGAAACAGTCCTTAGCCGCTATAACTGCTGACATTTGTTTGTTTTTTAATAGCATACACCTAATTGAAGAGATTTGGGCAATTTGAAATTTATGTTTTATTCATTTATTAGACACATAGAAAAGGAAACAATATTCTTTAAATCACAAACATCATCGCTCACTGAAAAAAAATTTAACTCAGCTCTTTTTATTTGCATTATCAGCAGTGTGTTTATGTCACAAATGCTCAGCAAAGCAAGCACATAAACAGCTAAACAACTGCTATACATTTCTAAATTCTCAAGTTTACATGTAACCCATAAAAGGAAATCTACTTTTCTCTAAATCTGGATCCCTAATAGCTTTACATATAGGTCTTTAAAAACAGATGACGTACCTCTTTCTTCTGCAAATGAATGAAAAAGCCTCATCTTATCTAGTTTGTGATCATAGAACATTCGAGTTGGAAGGAATTGAAGGTCATCTGACTAATCCCTGAATTTCAGTGCACTTCTCAGAGTCAGAAAGCTAGAAAGCAGCCCACCTTGGGTGAGGATTGTAGTCTCCTCCACTACTCCCATGGTGCAAAGTGTAGCCAAACCCCATGGTGCTGACTTAGCACCATACCTTAAATATAGCAGATGCTCAACTGTATTTGTGTAGCAAGCAACACAAAAATAAATTCAAAGACATTCCCCCACAGAACTCTCATACTGATCTCTCACAAAGCACTTTTAATTAGCAAGAATTACATTTTCTGTTTCTACTGGGCATCAAGTACATTCCAGGTACTGCATAACTCTGAATCATACTTTGTGTAGTAAGTACAGATGCCTCTTCTCTGAAACCATTATCAGAACTAGTGTCACTGTATAACAAGTCCCTATTGGTTGCAGCCATGCTTGCTTCTAGGGATTCTATCCCAGCCCTACTCTTCAGATGTATTAACACCTGAGCACTGGCCCTGCCTGCTGTCCAGCTGGGATCCACTGTGCCTCTCCTAGGCCTGTGACAGAGGCAGACACATCAAAGGCTTCACCTGTGGAAAGGAGATCTGCAGAACTTGCAGCTCGTACAGGTTGCTTAATGTGAAGAGGTTACTTTACACTTTTGAATAATAAAATCACTTAATGGAACAAATTTTTTTTTTCTTTTGGTACCGGGGATCGAACTCGGGACCTTGTGCTTTCGAGACAGGCAACGGAACCACTGAGCTAAATCCCCGGCCCCTGGAACAAAAATTCTTCCATCTCAACCTATCTGGTTGCTGTCCTACCCTCAATGAGGTGTACTAGAAATTCTTGCACATTTGACTACACTATTACCTAGAAGAGGTGGAAAGGAAAAGGAAAAGTTGATGTTTCATATTATCTTCATAAAGGCATTTAGAAGGAAATGCCTGCTTGACAGTCTTTTGTGAAATAGGATCATCTAGGTCCTTCACTCTCAACTTTAGTTGAAAGTTAAATCTAAGTGCACAGAAATGTAACAGAAAAAGCCAACATGGAAATAGTCATTCATCTCTCAGGATCAGAGCAGTTTCTTGTCTCTGCCTTAAGTGCTTTTTATGTCTCTTCCATCAGTCATTGTTTCTCTATTGGAGGGATGATGACTAGAAATTTCCCATAAGCATTTTCAAGGGTTCCCCCATTTAGCTTTTGCTTTTGAAAGCATTTTGGTCCATTTGAGTGTAGTCTAGGAAATTGTCCAGATGTGCCTGGGTCATTGATGATGTGTCTTCCAACTGATATTTCTTCCTTCCTTGGAACAGCATGATAATTCTCCTGGCCCTGACTTATGGGCATCCCAGGACCCCCGCTGAGCCAAAGCTATGCTAAGGAGTCCGGATTTTCCAGAAACTTCTATGCCATTGGCCCTCCCTGTCATCAGGTGGCCCAGCTGATTTGCTTGCCTGCCTCCATATTCTACACATTTCTTCCACCTGAAGGAAGAACTACTCTTCCTTGAAGGATAGTTCTAGATACTTATAAACCACTTATTCTATGCTAAGCATATTCACAATGGGAAATTTCACAGATATCCTGATTAAGACACCCTGTTCTGGGTATATTTCAGACTTTCATACAGTTCCCAAACAGTAGCTCCTTACAAAGTGACTTTGGCCTTGGTTCACAGGAGATCCATCCATGAACCAAGCCATAGGAACTCCTTACTGTAGCTGTCACAGAGGTCGCCATTACATCCTTCCCAGCTGCCTCTTATCAACAAGAGAAATGCCTTTCACCTGGGGGTAGGAGAGAGCAAGAAGTCATTGCAACTTTGCTTTTCATGAATCCATTGTTTTATTTTTATCTTAAAATCTCTATGACCTTCTAAGTGGGCATGTTTCCCTTTTTACTTTAGCCACAAAAAAACAGAAAGCCATGTTTCCAGCTCAGACATGGTTATATAATAGGCATTTCTGTGTGCTACTTTGACACTTATACACTAAGCTCTACATATGCTGTGCCATATAATAGCTATAACAGACCTAGACCTAGAAGATAGATACTATTATTAGACTCCTTTTATAAATAAGGAAACTGGGATTCATGGAAGTTTTTAAAAAGTTGCAGACATTATAACCTTTCACCATTAAGTATTTATGGGTATATTTTCTAAGAAAAAAATCTTATTTAACCATGGTACCAACCTTAAAGTCAGGAAATTAATGTGGATATATATTACTGTTTTATATATAATCTATATGAAGATATTGCCATTTCTCCCAACATTAGCCTAGAAGAAAGTAGGCTTTTACACACATACCAAATTAGAAATAATCCAACAGAACTTCAAACTAAAAGCATTCCTTTATAACTGAATACATTTAACTATAGGAAAATAAAATTACTGTTAAGTCTTTATTTTCTCGTATCTCCTAGGAATGGTGGAGACTATACCACATATTTGTTAATGGACTCACATTTGACAAACACTAATATATAAGATTGAATACAGTAAAGGCACTATTAAATAATTTTAATTGAATTAAATGCTATTTTTAAGAGATTACTACTGTGAGATAAATGTACAATAAGATTATTAAGACTGTTTAATGTTGGCTAATACTAAATTAATGCTACTTAAATTTTTCTAATATCTTTTAAAGGCCTCTTTTAGTATTTCTTACTTACAGTATTAAGATTTGGCTTTGACCTACTTGTCAAGGTGCTCCTGTGACCAAAATGCCAACAATTATACAGCAGCATTAAGAAAAAAACTAGAAATACATAAGAAATGTTATCCACTTTTGTCTCAAGTCCTACGGTGGATGTACTTGGAACACCATGAGTTGAAGAAAAACAGCTAAGGATTTGTCATTGAGGAATATTTTTGAAAGACATACAATATTGGAAGGCTTCAACCCAAGGAGACAAAGACTAAAATAAGATACCACTAAAAGCTTTAAATTACAATGTTCCCCTTTCTCTGGATTCAGAGAAGAGGCAGTTGTAAAGGAAATTAAAGGAAAAATTGCTACAGGAGTAAGCTGTAAGGGGCAAAAACATAAATATATTCAGAAAGGACTGAGATATTTATAAATTTTAAATTCAGAATTCATCATAGAGAAAGCCTACATGAAAGCAAACCAAAAGTGTCTCATTTATACCCCTAACCTGTCCTCCTATAAACATCTTTCAACTGAATGAGTCATGGACCTAACTCACTGTGGCATTTTTATATTGTCAGTTTTTCATTTCATAGACCCTGCTATAGCTCCACTTAATATGGTGTCTGTGCCATGGAGACTAGCTATGTTCATTCACACATTAATGCATACGTGGTTGAGGCATCCACACATTTTAGAGTAGAAGTTCTAATATTTCAACTTCAAACAGAAGCCTTTGGGGCAAGTAAAAGAATGTGTACATTACTTTTTCACTAATGACCATAAAATAATGGACTTGAAATTAATTTGGAAGTGTACATAACTTCAGAAATGTAGCCTATTAATATTCTTCTCCACACTTTTAATTCTTTCCCCTTTTGAAGATATTTTTGGTACTTCTTAGTGTCAACATAAATGGTACAGTATATTGTCCTTAATGGTGTCCATTCTTGCTGAGAGTTTAATAGAAGTTCAGCAAAACAAAATTAAATTAAACAAACACAAACCTCATATATTACTTTCAGTTGTAGAACAACTATGTAGGAACTCCCTTATTCTGACTTTATTAAATCAAACCCAAACCAAATAATTTACATAGATTACAGTATGTACAATTAATATTTTAATAGGGCACCATTTTGCCTATTGAGGATGGAACATATTAAAAATATACATTTTTACACCAGGCTTCATATACTAAAGTAAACCTTATTTTCCATGAATTAACAAAAGGTGCCTTGGATTTGGAGGATCTGGAGGACTGGCCCTTGTCGGAGACACTTTGGTGTTTGTTTTTTGCCTCAAGGGAAGTCAATGGCACAGAACAAAGCCTGCTGTATAATAAATATACATAAAATATTTTATTAAATGATTACTTAACTCAGCATAGGAGGATGGAAATGTTAAAAAGAATTTTAATTCTGTTTAAATTTAGTATAACTTCTAGCAAATAAAAGTACAGTTCAAGAGGCAAATGTCCATTCATGTAAAGACAGTTACGCCTGGTAACCAGATCAAAAAGCTGGAGATTCCCTTTTTCAGAAAGTCCGCTGATCTACAAAACTGGAAAATGTGTTCACCTCAGTGAGTTGAATGCTGTTTCTGATGACAACTGCTTCTTTCTTAGACAGCGCAAGGACGAGCTGGAACAGAGAATGTCTGCTCTCCAGGAGAGCCGGAGAGAGCTAATGGTCCAGTTAGAAGGTCTCATGAAGCTCCTAAAGGTAAGACATTTCAAATAAACCTACAACTGAAGCATTTATAAATTTTTCTGCATATAATGTGTGATGGCTTTACCTATACAGTAACTATATGTGATTTCCCCCCAAAATGTTGCAAACTGAGATATGGAACCATTTCTTGGACCCATGAAAGAGTAGCAGTCAATTACAGAGCTTATTCTGATCCATTTCCTGGCACTGAATTGCTAATGCCCTTCATAGAGCAACCTCTTGACCTATTTCTAGTTCTTGATCTTTATGTTGTCCCTAAAAATGATAAAACTGGATTTATTTAGAAGTGTCTTACATGAAATAGCTTTCAACAGTTCTAACTAAATTGAACAGAGGCTAATGTCCAATTCAGAAAATTAAGAAATAGCCACTAAACAATCTTGGTGATTACAGTTTTATTAAGAAGATTAATTTTTGTTTATTTCAGTATTTGGTCCCATTTGTATAGCTATAACAAGTCACATGACTTCTACAGATTTCAAATATAAACTGTAAATGGGAATATTTCCTTACTGTTGTAGAAGACTATTTAACAAGGTGGTCTATAGAAGTCCTTTATAGAGTGCTGTAATCTATTATTCACTTTGGAAGTGACAGTCCTCCTTCAGTAAACCCTTATTTCCTTCATCAGTACCACTAAATTACTTTGCAAAGCAAAAGTAGATGAATTATGGCCACATGTCCACAGTTGGCCTGGTAGAATTATCACTGCTTCATGGTCATCCTGCCCAAGATGAGCAAACATGAAACAAAATGGATTGAAATTGCCACAAATGGATCAAACTATCAGAATTAAAGCTTCTGATAGGAGAAAAATGAAGGAAATGTCCCTAGGCAGCTCACTGTAAGGCAAGATGCCCTGACTTTTAATTCATACATACCCCTTATACAGTATCCCCAACACACCATCACTGGTCTTTTCTGTATTGTCCTTCCTTCTTTCTTTTTTCCTTTCCCTTCTTTCTTTCCTTCTTCCCTCTTTGCTTCTCTTTTTCTTTATTTTTTCTTTCTTTCTATTTCTTTTTAGTTTTTCTTTCCTTTCTTTAGCAAATAATTTTGCATCCTCTGTTCCCAGGCACTACACTTGTAATGTTTCTTTCTTTTGTTTTCTTTATTGTTTTGTTCCACTTTTCATCCTTTTTTCTTTATCATCAGTGTCCACTTGGGGAATGCTTTATCACTACTTCACAAAATTTACATTTTAGTGCATTAGGCACATAAAGTATAGAATTCAAGGAGTTTTGTATAATTTATAGTAAGATAGAACTAGATCATTGATAAGTTGCTGCTGTTTCTGGCCTATGGTCTGATTTGATCTGACAGAAAAGCTCTTTTTTGCTTCCCTTTCCAAACATGTCAGATGAAGAGGTCCAAATTCATCTTACCTTTAACTGAATGGCAGGAAACTTTGGGAAATGCCCTCTGCTGGTCTTCCTATAGCTTCTGTTACTGTAATGTTGGGATAGTTGTCTATTGACCACCTACTATCTTGGTACCAACCTGGGCCAACTGAGTACAGCTTTTTTACCAAGATATACAAACATGAGTTTAGAGAGACAGATCGTGTTGAGAGATGGTTGGAAACATGGAGGAAAGGAATGAGCCAGTAGTCTCAAATATCTACTTGGCTTGGATGTACAATCACTGAAGTAGCGGAGGCCTGGACCTACCTTCATACCTATGTTGACATTTCCTCCATCTTGCCTTCCTTCACACTGTGTAGATGCTCTTATGGGAACCCTGGGTAATCTAACTGTTATTGATTCGATCTTTCTGTAGGAAGAAGAACTGAAGCAGGGAGTAAGTTATGTCCCCTACTGCAGGTCTTAACTAACAGTGGAGGGGCCTGCCGTCCTGCTGTTTTTCTCATTGCTTTTGCCTCTAATGTATGTTCATGCTTCAGTTTGGAAAGAAAAAAGAATTATACTAATTTGCTTCCTTTTCAATGTAGTGCTTGAATTGAGATTATAAAATTTAGCATTTTTTATAACTATCACTGCTGTCTGCACCAAAAGAAGAACTATTATATCTTTTAGAAGAGGGAACAAACTGTAATTTGTTGGAAACATTTTAGATCCCCCAGTGTGTATGTTTCAAATCAGTTTTATGCTTCTCTGCACTGATGATCAGACCCTTCTCTTAATAGAAAAACACAGCCACTAGAGCTACCCAGAGGTTAATGTTGTCTTAAAACCTACACCACGCAAACGCAAATCCTCATGTCCTCTCCATGAATATTCAGTTCAGTTTCTGTTCTGTTGAAAAAGTGCAGAAACTTTTTGTAAGAATCAGGTGAGGGATTTTTGTAAAAATCCCCTACCATCAAATAACTACTAGGCCCCCTCTCTCTCCCACTGCTCACCACAATGTGCTCAATCATGTGAAAGACTATACCAAGTACCTGACTATCCACTTCCCATCTTTTTGGTTCTTCCCCAAAGCAGATGTTGATTGACAATAATCTCTAAAAAATAGGAAACTTTCAGCCTTTCTCATCACCAAAACCTTTCTGCTCTGGGAGTTCCCAAGGTCATTACATACATTTTTTTTCCATAGTTAGGGGCATTGGGATTCTCTAACCTTGTCCTAAACTGGAGCCCTGTGTCTAGCCCATATGGTCAGATTCAGAAGCCAAGAAAGGGAGTAGCATACTCAAAATAATAACAGTAATAATATGGTAAATTAAATAGAGGCCAAAGAAAGCAGCTGTACTGTTCGGTGCATGTACCAACCTGTATATGACAATATATCCGACTTGCTAGCATTATTTAAAAGTTTCACAGCATTTCCATGGATTGATTAGAACTGCAGCCTGTCCGATTTCAACATCTTTTTAATTCTTCTGTATGCTCTTTTCTATTATTCATTGTGTGTGTTTGTGTGTAACAAAGAACGTTTGCAAAATGCTGAACACATTTTTACCCTTCATTCCCATCATCTGTAAAAAAAGGAAAAGTGTTAAACTAACCTGTAATGATAGATAATAAAGACAATGTACTACATTATTTTGTATTTTGTGGAAAAAATTACTGAACTTCAGTCAAATTTTAAAGAGGGATAGTCCCTTTGGGGTAGACACACCACACCGACAGCCTGTGTTACTGCCCATAAAGGCATAAATGGGGATTGCTATTATGCTCTCAACACACTTAGATCATGGTAGAGAAAATACCTTTCTCCTGATACTTCCCTTTGCAAATGGCCTCTTTTCTTTCCGGTAACTTACTTATCATGTGCATAGAAAAAGAAAATATTGCTCAAATACAACCTTCTTCCTCCTAGTGGAAAGAGAGGGTGATCATCCTTAGTCCATCAACCCTGCTTTAGACATTTCCCTTCAGGATCCTTTCCCTACCATTTTCCAAGCAGCACATTTTTGAAAAACTCCCTTTGAGCAGGAAATTCATAAACAGAGGCAAAGAGCCCAACCAGGCAGTGCCCTCAAGGTGACATCACTGCTGTCTCGCCTTTCTAGCCCCTCCGATCCCCTTCCAGCTCCAGTATCTGCGAGGGTCAGCCTGCATTGGGACTTACAAGCCCTTAGTACCCCCAGAAGTCAGTAGCAGATTGTCTGGAAGGAGAGTTTACCTGTTTTACTCTTATCACTTTCCTTTTATACTCAAGCCTCTCTTCAAAAAAGGACCCAAGGCCGCTTACAACAAAATATATGAACAGTAACTTCCTAAAATGGAAATAGAAAAATATAAAACTAAGGAAAAGGAAATGTAAATATGCTAATCATAAGGGCCAACGGTGTTTCTCTGAGCTTTCTGACAATGACACAAAAAAAGAAAAATATGACCTGTGGTTCTATCAGTATCAGAATGCCACTTCTCAGGAGAGCAAAATTTCTGCAGCATAAAATATAAAAGAAAATCTTCACTTGGAACTTTATAGAAGTACCGAATAATAAAATGAAAAAACAAAGTCATAGATTTCATGTGGCTGTTTCTCATACTGACCTTCAGTCTAAATTAAAGACAGAACCCTATAAATTGCAGCCCTATAGAAGCAGTTCTATAAAGAAATAAGTACCATCCATACCTATAGACTGCTTATCGTATAACATGATCTAAGGAGAGAATTTAGAGGTTTTAGACCAGCATCTGCTTCTAAATTCTGTTTTTATTTATGAGCCTTTCCCCTCTGGGGACGTTCTCTTTGTAAAATCAAACCTTTAAAGCCCCCCAAAAAACCAACTGTGCTTGATTTAATTAACTTCTACTTGCTTTATTTTAAGTCTGCGTGGTTCAATGTAGTGTTTTATTATACTGGTATATATAATTCCTACTTATACTGTTTCTTGTATAAATGCATGATTTTATCCCCGTTGAGGACAGAACATGATTTTTTTAAAAAAATAGTGCCTGTAATATGATGATTATGGTATCACAAGCAATAAATTCTTTTTTGACAAAACTTGAATTGAAGTTATCCTACCCTCTTTCTTCTTTGTGTATCTTTAAGATTTATTGAAGGAGCCATAAAAAGAACACTCATAAAAAGTTTAATAATGAAGGCAGCTGGGGTGTAATTGCAGTAACAGTATGTTCCAGAGTTTCTGGTATCTTTCCAGTTCCAAATATTATGACCAATCTGAAGCCAAGCATTTGACTCTTAGCTTAAGAAGTAAGATCTCAATAATAATTTTCTTAGGAAGATTACTTGGGTTAGATCAGCATTATAGTGGGCCCTGCTCTTCAATCACTGTAAGATCATGAGTAAGTGAATTAACTTCCTGATAATTTATTTCAAACATACTGGTAATTCCTGGCTCATAGAGTTACTGTATACATTTTAAAAGATAATGGATATGAACACACTGTAAAAATACTATATGAATGTCAGATATGAATATGCATATTTAAATGCACACAAAAGGACTCATAGTTTACACACACACACATTCACTTTTCTTAATTACAGTTAATAGTGTCTCCAACAAGGGAAGAAATTTGAACAAGATTTTAATCAGTTCTAATTCTTTTTAATTGCTTTTAATAGTAGTAAAGGGTAATTTTATTTTAGAAAAAGTGACAGAAGCAAACCAGTAAGATAATCTCTTCCCGTTGCTGGTAACATCAGATATGATCCTAGATATGCTAATACATGCAGACTATTGCTGACACTCATTTCTGAGTAGGTATTTTTAAACAGCCAATATAGTAAAAGGCTACAAGTGTCAAACATTCTGTACAATGTGCAACAAGACATTGACAGTCTTTTCTGAAAGATTTCATTTATAACATAGATTTCTCTGTCATAGAGATGTACAAGTTACCCATTTTAATCAAGGACCAAAATTAAATTTGTGTTTATTAACAGGAATTTCTTTTTTGGATTTACAATAAGAATACATTTTAAAAACTACATTTCTAACTTTTGAATCAAATTGTTCCTTATTTGGGAGGGGTATATTATTGGTATTCTGTTAAATAGTACAATCATTTTAACTTGATGGAGGGAAAAGTCAAATACCATCCCAAATTCCATCTCCTGGCCCAATCTCTTCTCTATTTTTACCTGAATGGTCCATTTAACTCAGGAAATTGTAGTCACTCAGATTCCTTCTTCTCTCAAACACACTATGGAATACGACTGGGCCAAAAAGGAACAATTTGGCCAGCCTGAGTTTTACCTTCCTTTACTTCTCTTGCTCATCCTCTTTGATGGGTTTTCTGTGGAGTCCTGCACCAGTCAAATATGAGGGAGGGAATAGTTCACCTTATAAATAATCAACTGCAATATAAAGGCTAATATTTAGTTTTCAAAAAATATACCCTCTCAGTGTCTATCTTCTGTTTTATTTTAAATTTGGGGTTAATTCTAGAGAAATAAAAATAATTTCTCTGCTTAAAACCTTCAAAGTTGACCCTCTACTCTAGTTCAGGATCAACTCCATACTACAAGCCCCAAGCTCAGCTCCTCCCTTCCCTGCTCACGTTTTCCTACTTTCCACAGGGAACCTGGCACTTCGGCCACACTGATCTCCCTGCCATCCCTCCCATACCCCTTGCACATCCTATGCCTTGCTCAGGCTATTCCAAAACCCAGATGTACTTCATTTTTCCTTCCTGGGGAATCTCTGCAATCAAGGCTCAAGCCAAATAACACCTACTCCTTGACCAGTATACTTTGTACACAAAAATCCCTTTAAGAAGCTAAACTGTAGAAATTATCATAAGTGCCATGGCAGTCAATGAACTGTGTTAGAAGAAATGTGCTGCACACTATTTTACTACACTTCCCAGGCTGCTAGGTACAACCAGGCATGACCAGGCTGCACTTGTAGACAAAACTAAGAGGCAGACTTGGGCGGGAGTAATGCTCTGCATTTTATTAAGGTAGGCTGGTTCAGCCTTTAGACCTTTGCCCTTTTCCTTGAAGCATCCCTCATTTCTAGAGCTGAGTAGAAATCAAAATACTTCCTGAAAAAAATTGGAAAATTTATGGATCTTTTCAAACTTAATGATTGATGCAAAGGCAGGTTGAATGAACTCAGGGGATGGTGCATAGAAATTAATTTTTCATTTATTCTCTAGGAAGAGACCTATTTTAAATTTGGCAAGTGTGATATATGTTTTCCTTCTTCCATAAATCAACTCTCTCCTTGGGAATTTTAGATCTACTTATTGATCTGCATGGACCATCATCCCTTAAGTCTTTGCTCCATTAATCACTGAGTAATTTCCAAGGAAAAATGATCATAGAGATTGTTCACTTTAACTCTTCTAAAGTTGTTAGCTGACAGCCATGTTTGATGGTCAGGCCAGAGGCAGCCATCTATAGGGGTCATCACCTGTGCAAATGAAACTCAGTGATATTGCCACCGATCTACCCAAATGCAAAGGGGCATCTGCCCTGTTCTAGTGACCCTGCAAGAATGGGACAGAAAGGAAGACCAGAGAAGGCATTTGGCACAGTAGGTGCTAGGAAGTTATTGTGTTTCAAACTGGGTAGTGTCCCAACAAAGAAAGATGGGGCTGGCATCTCCCAGGCAGCCAGCATCTACGCCTGCTAGCCTGGGTAGAGACAATATGAATTTGGAGTTGCAAGTTTGGGGAAAGATGCAACCAAATCTTTTCTTCAACACAAAATCTTCCATCTAAATTCTTCATGTAATCAGAATGCTTGGAGTTTCTCCAGTTAAGAGATTCAGTTGAGAGATGGTAGCTATTAGTCATTTACACAAAGGTGCAAGTTAGAGTCAGTCAGTTATTTTCCCCCTCATCACCACAGTCAATTATTTTTCTCTTAACACAGAACCACTAATGGGAGTTTTGGAGACAGGAAGTAAAAAGGAATAGGAATAACTGGTTTTGAAGATCAGATATTAAGCAGAGAGAGACTGGGGCTGGAATGCTTCAGACACACACTGCTAAGAAGGAGAAGTTCCCAGAAAGGAGAGTGGAAGGGCCACATACATGGCTGTCTTTGTAAATGCTTTACAAAGGGAGGAGCCCCATAAGTGCCCTGTGCTGGAGAACCTGGCATAACAGGTGCATGCAGGGCTGGTGTTATACAGCGAAATATTAAAATATTGTCCATTACTGCATGTCTAAAATCACTGGATCCAGATATGTTCTAGATTCAGAATATTTCAGATTTTGAAAGGCAACATAACACAGCTTATCAATCGCCTCATTTTCTATTGGCCCAAATTCATTATGAACAACCTGTGTTCATCAGAGCTTCTTAGATTTCAAAGCTGTAGATTTAGAGATTGTGGACTTGTACTTCTGTACTGGATAAAAAACCCAAAGGCTCTCCTTCCAACTAGCCAAACCTCTCCTTCCAAACCTCTCCCATGACCCAATGACTAAACGGTATTGCCTGGCCCAGCAGGAGGCCCAGCAGCATACTGGGGACAGGCCCTGGGCCTTTTCAGCCTCAGGTTGCTAAACCTTTCTAAACTTAGTGAAACAGAGAGGGACACAGCATTTACCATCCTAAGAAGCATCTGTGATGTTGTGGGAAAGCCCTGAGCCTGCAGTGTAAAGGCTGAGGATCCTTTTTTGTCTCTGCCATTAATTCACTCAGGGACCTTGGGTAACCCAGTTATCTCCTCTGAGTCTCAGCTTGTTAATCTGTAAAATGGAAATAATAATACCTTATATGGTTAAGAGGTTTAAATAAAGTATTTGGGATTAAAGTGCTTTATACACTGTGAATTGCTGTTCCAGTATATCATGATTTCTACTGCCATTAGGAAAATGAAACAAAACAACATATGTAACATTGCTTTATACACTAAATTGCATACACAACTGGAATTGTATTGTTACTGTGAACTTTCCTACCATGCAAGAGGATCTGGCTTCCTGGGATTGTGCAGAAAACTCAGGCTGTACATCCAAGGGGAGCGAACTTCCACAACCACCACTCTGTCCCTCTTCCTGCTGTGAATGGTCCCTTGGCAAAAAGGACAGATAAGAAAAACCCAGGAGCCCTACTGAGGGCCCTGCCTTAAAAAACATGCATGGGAGGTGTGGCCAGGTCAGGGTACCCAATCAACATCTATCCCCTTTGGGGGACACTTCTCTAGCCACAGTCCAACAAGGTTCCTATATTCTATACCCCTCAGAGCTCCAGGGGTCAACACCAGTCCTGCCACTCCGGCTCCATCTCCAGAGAGCAGTTCTTTTCATTCTCTGAGCTCTGGGATTCACAACTGCACATTGAGAATGATGATGCCTACTTCATAGGGTCAAGGAGAAAAATCAGTGAGAATGTATGCAAAGCCCTTTGAACCTCATAAAACACGACTCAAATGTGAAGTTAAATGTTATGGCACTGGCAGCTGGGGACACAATGGTAGCTCAGAAGCAGAGAGTTTCAAAGTATTGGGGCTGAGCTACCAACCTTTGCTGGGAAAAACGATACCCTTCCTTGAGTGGGCTGAGGAAAGCAGGCTGCAAAACATCACAACCCAGCCAAGTTCTCTTCCCCAAGCCTGGACAGATCATTACAAGGTACTGTTGAGAGTGAAAGAATGGACTCCTCAGCCCATTGGGCATCACAAGAGTTCTTCTCTGTGCTCTGTTCTGTTTTGTTCATTTTTGATTCTGGGTTTTCCTCAATTTATAGATTTGACAATTCTGTGTGATACTGAGCCCTGGTGAGCTAACAGCATGGCATTGTACAGGATTAATGTTGTATGTTTTAACTTCAGGCAGCTGAACCCAAAGCAAAGATCTAAATAGAATATTCCAGAGCTCTGCTCTCATAGTGCATGTCTAGGAATTTGAATGGATTTGAATCTCTGGACCTTGCTATAGAATAGTTTTCACTGTATCTGGCCAGACCCAACACTGGGGTGGAACTCATGTGAACCCCTAATTTGTTGTGTATGCATGAAAGTCTCCATGCATTTTCTTACATGCATGTTTGACTGTCTTCCTTTGTTGACTAATTATTAAAGCAGGAAGATTGTTTTCAAGGGACCTCTTGTAGAGACAAAGCATTAAAACTCAAGGTGTGAAAATCTCAGAAAGGTCCCATGCTAAAGACTGTGACACAAGGATAAGGAGTTTTTAGTTGTTTTCTACTCTTGTCTTTAGTCCTTCTCATACCCTACGATTCTTACTCTCCTGCTAGAATAGTCCTTTATCATAGATGAAGAGAAGTACATTTCCTTCAGGAAACAGCAACCAAAAATGAGAAACCAAAATTTCTGCAAATGAAAACCATAATGAGCCATCACCTTACTCCAGTAAGAACGGCTATTATCAAAAAGACAAAAGACAGCAAGTGCTGGCAAGGATGTGGAGAAAAAGGTGTCTCTGAACACTGTTGATAGGAATGTAAATTCTTACCCCCATTATAGAAAATAGCATGGTTGTTCCTAACGGAATTAAAGATAGAACTTCCATATGCTCCAGCAATCTCACTAGGTATTCCTCCAAAGGAAATGAAATCAGTATGTTGAAGAAACACCTACACTCCCGGATTTATTGCAGCACTATTCAGAGTAGCTAAGAGATGGAAAGTATCCATCAGTTGTTGAATGACTGAATGATTGGATTTAAAAAAACAGAACAAGGAAAAGAGGTGATTTGTCTTATAAGAAAAAAAGAATGTGTGGTATTGATACACAATAGATACTATTCCACTATTAAAACAAAGAGAATGAAATCCTGTCATTTGCAACAACATGGATGGGAATGGAGATCATTATGTTAAGTGACATAAGACGGGCACAGAAAGACAAGTACCACATGATCTTATTCATCTGTGGAATCTAAACAAGTGAAACTCATAGAAGTTGAGAATAGAATGGCAGTTACCAGAAGCAGGGGAGACTAAGGGAAAGGGAGAGACATGCAAAAGTTGTCAGTGGGTACTAAGTTTTATAGTTATACTTACAGTAACTTATAGCTAGAGAGGAGTGAGAAATTCTGTTATGCTATTTTACAGTAGGATCACTATAGATAACAATTATGTACTTCATATTTTAAAAAGCTAAAAATAGGACTTTAAATGTTTTTACCATAAATAAATAATGAAAGGTATATGTGCTTAACCTGATTTAAACATTGCATGATGTGTACCTATATCAAAACATTACTTGGTATCACATTAATATGTACAATTTTTCTTCTATGTCCTAGCTAAAATAAATTTAATTAATGAAAAAAGAAGCCAAGATTTTTTTGTCCTCTTAGCCATATAAATCCCTGAGCCACAGAGCAATTTAACAAAATCAGCTGTAACTGTAAAATGGAGATTAAATAATTTATACCTTATTTGATTTTTATTTTGAGACTTAATATGCACACTATTACAAGACATGATTTCTGCTGTGAATTATCCTGAAAAGATGTTGCCAGGACAAACAAGTTGGAAAATTTAGGAAGCAAATATACCATATCCATTCCAAACAGTCCCCTAGTTTGTATTTAAAGCTTTTCTTTAATATCCTTTTATCATACACAGAACTTCCTTCATGGAGAAAATATACACACGTTGTAATTATCTCTGTTTAGTAACAGCTTCTTTATATTGGCACACGTCTTTTATATGGTAGGACAATGCTGTACTAATATTCTTAGTTTTCAATAATTAACCCAAACTTCAGAGCGTACGTAATAGCGGCCTAAATCATCTGCACCTGCAGTTTAGGTTTAGGATTGCCATCTCAATTCCCTAAGAATTCCTCGTGCTTTGGAATTTCATTGTCACTGTTTTTAACATTGGACCTAGGCATTAGGATGGCATATGGCATCTTCTTGGAAAACAAATTAATAGCTTGCATTGTCTCTGCAGACCCAGGGGGCAGGCTCCCCTCGCTCCTCCCCCAGCCACACCATCAGCAGGCCCATCCCCATGCCCATCCGCTCGGCGTCTGCCTGCTCCACCCCGACGCACACCCCTCAGGACTCTCTCACGGGGGTAGGGGGCGATGTACAAGAGGCGTTTGCACAAAGTAAGTGCTTTTCTATTGTTGTTCTGGTTGGCTTTTAGTGGCAAATAAGTCACCAAGGTCCACTGAGTGGTGGAGATTCGTCCGAGCCACACATGGCATCAGGGGAGCCCATGGCTGTACCAGAGCCTGTCTTAGAAGCTCCTGTGCTGATCTGCTCCTCACTTCACCGTTCTACCTTCCTTTGGCTTCTGTCGTCCTGCCTCCTTTCTTAATAAGTCTCTGTTCTCCAAGTTACAGGAAATATTTTAACCAGTCTCCCAGGACACTATAAATACAACCCATTTTAACGTCCATGTCTTCTCTTAAAGCAAAATCAAGGCTGAGATTAAATAATCCTGGCTCTTTAGCTCTGAAGTGATAGAGAAGGACATGCAATGATTTCTTAGATCCCCTATTAAGATGTTCTAAAGAGTTGTATCATTGTCTACCATGTATCATTGGCTGCAAGGTCAGACCTCCGCAGTCACGAAAGGAGCACAAACAGGGCTGGAGGTAACAGCCAGCGTTCTTCATGGGCTTGAGTAAGGAGTGCCTCAAGGCAAGTGATTTCACGTTTTTCTTACAATCACTTTTAAATTCAAAGAGTATAAGAAAAAAAAATCTCCTGTACACCCTTTCAACCAGGTCACTCTCTTTCCCAGAAGTAACCACTATTAATAGTTTGGCCCTTCTCAACTTTATGTTTCTATGCAAAGAGATATATTTGTATGTATTTATAGATACATACTCTTTTTCCCATACACACAAATCAGGTCATATGTTGCATTTTGATCTGCAATTTGTGTTTCTTAGAATTAGAATTGTATCATGAACATCTTCCCACATCCTCCCATAAAGATGTAAGGAAAAGAGAGGCATGTTTGAGTTTAAATTTTAAGGCAAAGGGCAGCATAAACAAAATCAAAGGACAAAAACAAACATGAGGAAATGATTTCCAGCACATGTGACAGTTTTAATAATTTTGGAAATACATAAAACATGTAGAGATCAGTAAGTAAATTGACACCTCCCATAACAAAAATAGATGAAGGATACAAACATATGGCAGAAATATAAATTGCCCAAAAATATATGAAAAGCTGTTCAACCTCACAAATAATTGTTGGGACACAAATTTTAATAAATATCACCTTTTTCCTAGCAGATTTTTAAAAAATTTTAACACTGATAATATCCAGGGAACAGCAAGATTGAGGAAATAGACACCTTCATCTATAATATATGGGGTCAAACTTAACACATTTTAATGAGAGAATAACACTTTCTACTGTAGTATGAAAACAGAGGACTTATACTAGGGCTTTTTCTTCTAAGCACTGAATTTAATTCAAGAACAGTTTATGTAACTGACAAAATAACTTTTTAAAAGTTTAGAAGGAAAAATATCCTTTCTCCAAATCATGTTTTAAAATCCATAGATTCAGTATTTTAAATCAATTGTGCTATTATAATTAATGTATCTACCTAGTTACTTTGAGATTTTAAAATTTGAATGTATTTATTACCTTTCTTAGTTAATATTGCTTTTTGAGAAATGGCAGCGAAGTACAGCCCCAAGGCAGCCCTTAGCTCATAAAATGCTCATGCTACATAATTGCATTTGTCATTCAGGGATCTGAAATCTTGAACCTTTTTTCCTAATATATTTTGCTAATTAGCCTTCTGTTCCAACTTCATTTTGTCCCACACCCAGACCAGTCCATAAATATCCTTTTAACTTAGTGTACCTGAAATGTAAGAATAATTTTTTTCTACCATAGACTATGTTCCAATCTAATCTAATCTAAATTCCAATTCAAGTTACCAGACATGTATATGCCCATGTCTTGGGCGCAGGAGTAAGAATCCTCACCCATTTCTCACACTTTGGAAGCATAGCATTCATGGGCTTCCTATTCCCAGGAGGGTCCTATACTGCTAGGGAAAGCTCTAGAGACCTTGATAGGAGACCCAGTCTGAGTTGACAGAGACCATAATCCAGTGCTCAGCCACAGGGCAGTAGCTGGAACAATAACAGTAGATAGGATCGTGGAGGTCTCCTGGCAAACTAGATTCTTCATCTGTATATTACTAGGAAGGATATCTGCACATGCTAGTTTACCTGCCACCCTCCCAGTTTGTGCCAGGTCACCCAGACTTATTAATGCCCAGCCCTTTCGGTTTCAACACTATCTCAATTTAGACAATAAATTATATGAACCACCATCATTAGCCATGTCTCCTTACATCAGGGGCCACAACCCTAAGCATAGTAGTTTTTGTTTTTTTGTTTTCAGGACATGAACCAAAGCACTTCTGAAAAGGAGAAATATCAGAACTTTTGTTGCAAAAGGTTATCGGTGGAAATGACAAACAACATAAAAACTTTGGGTAAAGGAATATCTTAGATTTCCTAAATTATTATTTCTTCTTCACTGAAGGCTCAAGAAGAAATCTAAGGAATGACTTGCTAGTGGCAGCGGATTCCATCACGAACACCATGTCCTCTCTGGTGAAAGAGCTGAATTCAGGTGAGTCCCTGGTGTCCTCTCACCTGTCTGCCCATCACAGAGGGACCATCCATCCAGGGGTCTCTTAAAGACCTGCTCATTGTCAAATATAAAAGGATATTTTAGAGCTCTGTGTGATATTTTGTTGGTATATTCAGAATTTTGGTAATGTTTATATTTCGCTTGTTAGAAGACTATTAATGTATACTCAATGCAGAAAATTTGGGAAATGTAGAAAAGGATAATGAAAAATATTAAAATTAACCTATAATTCTAGAATCCAAAGATAGACACTGTTAACATATATCATAATCCATAGTAACATGATACTGGACTTATTTTACAGGGTCAAGTATTTTATTTACCTATTAGACTCTATTGGGAATGCATGATCTTTGAATGAAACTAAAATGAAATTTACCTATTTCCAAAGAAAAAATCTACCCAAAAATGAACACCATGAAACCATGGAAGAGTCTTATGCTCCCAATACTAGATAAAGTTTTTTAAACTTTAGCAGTGTGAATACACAAATAAATATCTTAACAGTTACTAATATATATCCATCTATTTCTTAAAGCAAACCTACCAAGATATTTGTTAGGCAAGACTGTGGTCTTATAGCTGAGATTACAACAACTGTACAAAATAAAACTTCAATTTTTTTTTAATTCCTGAGTTTAAATTTCCAATAAGAATTAAAATAATTGAAAGTTGTTGCTTCTATTTAAGATTACCAGATAGGGTAATGTGACATGATTAATGAACATACCACTAATAACTGAAGGGTTATTCTTATGGTAAAATTCTCATGTGCTGTTAATTCATACTCTTATAATTCTTTGAAATAGCAATTGTAATATGTTAGGGTTGTGTTTTCTAAATTAGAGTAATATTAAGTAAAACAACAATTTTAATACGGGCTTTTTATGGAAAGGAAATAGTACTTTTAAAATCTGAAGTCAGTACAACATAAAAAATTCCTCATAATATTTTTGAGATAAAAAAGAAAATGTTGCATACCAAATTATAGTAATTTGTGTCATTCTCATTTTGAAAAATATTGATTTGACTAATGTACAGTAACTGGCTAATGTTTTATACAGCACTGGTTGATTTATGTTAAACCCAGTCCTTTATTTGAAGGTTATAAAATACCTAACAAGTCATTCTTTATTTCTTTAATTGTACCACTAGAGGTGGGGAGTGAAACAGAGAGTAATGTGGATTCTGAATTTGCACGGACTCAGTTTGAGGATCTCGTTCCGTCGCCCACCTCTGAAAAGGCTTTTCTAGCCCAAATCCACTCTCGAAAACCTGGGTACATTCACGGGGGAGCTACCACAAGCAGTGCCATGTGAGTATTAGAGTATCCATAGCAGAACAATCTATAGGGAGCAATGAAAGTAAAAACATGGTTGTTTAGTCCTTTACTTTGGAAAGGGACGATCCAATTTCCCTTTCTGCCAAAACAGGCAGGAGGGCTCTACATTTAAAATTGACTCCAGGACTCTTCCCTACCCCACCCTTACACCTTCCAGGGCGTGCCAGTAAATAAAACCAATCTGTGCTTATTGCAAAGATGCTCTTCGATTTCTGATGAAGTTATATCTTGATAAACGCCTCACAAGTTGAAAATATCAAGAGCCAAAAGTGCATTTAATACAGCTAACCTATGGAACATCCTAGCTGAGCGACACAGCACCCTGAAGAGTGTCTATCCTGTGCACTCCTGACTCACGTGGCTGACCGGGAGCTGTGGCTTGCTGCTGCTGCCGCCGCCACCCAGCATTGAGAACAGTATCTGTTGCACATAACTAGCCTGCTGAATGATCCAAATTCAGGATGCAAAGTATGGTTGCACTGCGAGCACATTACTTTTGCATCATATGAAGTTGTCAGTCAAACCATTGAAGGTCAGGAATCATTTGTAATATTTAAAATAATATTTTAAAAACTGCTTTTACCTTTCTCACAAATTCAGTAGATAAGTCATGCTGTCTTCTGAACTCACTATATTTGCACTTACTGGGTCTCATGCTACTTGGACAGGCATTTGTTCACAAAGGGTATAAACAATAAACATTTGTACTGAAATAAAGTAGATGTTTAAAATCTCATTATAAAGAGATACCTGACCCTCATCAGAAGACATTTTGCAAAGATTTTCATGCTGGTAGGTTTCTGTAACATGACTGGAGCCAGCAGAATCAGTAACATTCCCATTAGATTTATCTGTGACCCTCAACTCAAAGTAGTTAGCAGAGGGAATAGAGGCTGAGAAACAAAGACAAGGCTAGCAGTGAGCTGCAGAGCCCAGCTTGGGAATATAGTAAAATGAAAGAAAGGAAGGAAGTAAACTCTTTGGAGCATGAGTTTCATGGAGTTATGAGAATCATGGCTAAAGGCTGACCCAAAGGCTGGGAAAGGAAATTGGAAAACTCTGAAAGATGACAGAAAGGTGACACTTAATGTGAAAAGTACTTCAGACTAGTCTACAAAAATAAACTGGCTATTTTAAAGACCTGGAGAAGAAACTAACCAGAGGCCTTTCTGGTGTTTTGTCTGTCAATCCAAGAAGCAAGTAAAAGACCCACAATAATGGCGAGTTATAAAGAGTCCTGGTTTGAAAGCCAGATGTGAAGCAGCAGCATGTACAATCAGAACGAAACAGTTATGATGTAATTTTAAATGGCAGTGTGCAGCTGCTTCTAATTTTAGTTTGCTTTCTTTTCCTTTCCTCTATATTTTAGGATTGTTTGATTTATTTGTTATTCCAAATGGAGGATTGTCATCTGTTTTATCTGGTAAATACGTATCTCTTTGACTTTTGTTAAGCATTCACATGATATCTACCTAAAATCTCTTGTCTCAATCCTAAAATCTAAAACTTATTAAAGACCACTGTCATTACCAGTCTGCTGTGCCTGGTATCTCCCAGCGCAAGATCAGTTACCATGGAGTGATTGGGGAGAGTGGGAGCAGATGTTGACAGGGGCCTAACAGACCCAATGCTCAGGCCTCAACCCTCCAAAAATAATGAGAACATGTCATACAGATATAAATAAGCATGAATGGTGCATTTAAGTTCCATCCCAGAAACAATTTCTTCAAATAAATAAAAATTTTAGGGGACATTTTAATATCTTTACTGTCAAACATGAAAGTATTGCATTTTACCTGAGAATATTCTAGTCCTGTGATTCAGATAGTGAATTTTTGTTCAGCCCCATGAAGCGCCTTACACATAGAATAGATGAATAGATGGAGACAGAGTCTCATGTCAGTGACTGAGGGCATTCTTATCTATTCGATAGTGAAATTAGTCCATTTAACTGGATTTTTCAAGTTCAGAGCTAGTATAAAATTTTAAAGTCAAGGGCCGGGTATTTAGCTCAGTGATTCAGCTGCCTTGTTCGCAAGTGGAAGGACCAGAGTTCGATCCCTGGTACCAAAAAAAAAAAAATTTAAAGTCAAGAGCTATGGGTTAGAGGATGAGCCTCTTTGGCATTGGCTTGCTGATAGTCCAAGACTTAATTCTACTATAAAAGTAAATCCTTTGTGTATAACACAAAGAGAGTTAAATTAAACTGGGTATGCTGGCCCATCCGTGTAATCCTAGCATTCTGGGAGACTGAGACAGAAGGATCATAAATTGAAGCCCACCCTGGGAAACTTAGAGACTTAGCAAGACCCTGTCTCAAAATATAAATAAATAAATAAATAAATTTTAAAGAGTTAGGGATGTGGTTCTGTGAATATGTACCCTTGGATTCCTTCCCCCGTACTGTAGAGGGAAAGAGAAACACATTATGAACAAATGGCCTTAAGCATTATTTCACTAGAGGGCTCACTCCCCTTATAGAATATGTTCTTCAATTCTATTTTTTTTTAAAGCCCTTATATTGGGCAAACAATATTCCTTCAAAAGGCAAGTTTGTCTTTTTTAAGAATGTAGAGCATGTAGAGGGCCCACCCATTCCTATAAGCCCTAGAAAAACAGATGAACCGATTACCATGAAAAAAAATATATGTATGAAAAGATTTTTAATGACCTATTTCTCCAAGGCTCCAATATTTCACAAGTTTTCCTTTAGGTAAAAGAAGGGAGAAAAGTGAATTGGAGGACTATAGGAAAATAAAAGTGCTAACGAAACTACAGCTATCACATGAATCCCACTCATACTTCTCTTTTAAGATTTGCTCCCAAATGCCATCTGCACTTTATTCCCAGAGTTACTGAAGACGGGGACCCCTATGTCCGGCCAGAAGAAGAAAACTATGAGAATGACTCAGTCCGGCAGCTAGAGAATGAGCTGAAGATGGAGGAATACCTGAAACAGAAGCTGCAAGATGAAGCCTACCAGGTACAGGAGCCAGGTGCCTCCCCCCACCTCTACCCATAGCCCAGGCCCGGTAGATGAGCCTTTCACATTACTCCTTCCTTCCACCCTGCTTTCCAGAACATTCCAAGGGCACTTCTTAATCCATGTATTCCAGACAGTAAAAATTTTACATGCTTCTTTTTTCAGTACAAGGATTGAACCCCTGTCTTTGCATTGGGCTACATCACCAGCCCCCCCCCCTTTTTTTTAATTTTGAGACAGGGCTTCACTAAGTCACTAAATTACCCAGGCTGGGCTTCAGTTTGTGATCCTCCTGCATCAGTCTTCTAGAGTGCTGGGATTACAGGCATACACCACCATGCCCAGCTTTACATATTTCTCATAGCTGTCACCGCTATGCATTCTTCTTAGTTCTGGCTTGGAAAGTGAAAGGAGGCCCAGGACATTGGTGGAAACATAGTGACTAGCAATTGAAACTCCTCTAAGATTATTGAGATGCTATGTTTTCATAAATTAAAAAAGAAGGCTGAGCATGGTGATGCACACCTACAATCCCAGATATTTAGCAGGCTAAGCAAGAGGGCTGCAAGTTTGAGGCCAGCCTGGGTGACTTAGGGAGACCCTATTTCAAAAATAAAAAGGGGCTGGAGGTGTAGCTCAGTGATAGAGTGCTTGTTAACATGCCCAAGGTCTTGGGTTGAGTCTTCAGTAGAGGGGTGGCGAGGAAGAGGAGGAGGAGGAGGAGTGGTGACAAGGAACAGAGTAGGAGGAAATTGAATCCACATAACTACTTCCTCCCTGATGTATTGGTTGTCCACAACCTCCTCCACCACCCGTCTCATGCCAAATGTAAGTAAGTGGAAAGGTGACAAGACTTACTAAGCAATATCAGGGGACCTCTAGGCCCATGTTCAGCAGAGTAAGGATAAGACAATCTTGAAATAACCTGGAGTGTATTAACCCATCTGAGAATTCATACACATAGCACATGCATCTGGGAATCAATGTGATTAGTCACCTACCCTGAAGGCAATGCAGTTTCCCCAGGGATAGTTCCATGGCCTTGTTTATCTCTCTGCATGCATCCTTTCTCTTTGAACTGCAGGTGTTGTTGAAGGTGTGTTGTTGGCTCAGGGGTTTGCCCGATAGAGACCTGCTGGTCTCTGCCCCAGCGAGTATTGTTTGCCTGTCAGACTTTCTGTCCAATGGCCACACAAGCTTTCTCCACATTCTTAGGACAGCAGTGACCTTCTCTTAGTCTGTTAGTCAAGGACAGAGAAACTGAGGGAATTGTCTCCTAGTTCTTGTATATGTATACATTAAGCCTTGAAATATTTTCCCAAGAAGGATGTAGCAAGAGGAAAACTGAAGCCCATCAACTTCACCCCACAACACAAAACAAAAGTGCTGCCTCTTTGGAATGTTCCAGTGGCCTTTCAGTTTCAAGGTCACATTTCAGAAGAAACCAAAATGTTGTTCTAATTATACAAAAGAGTGATAATATATATGGAGCCATGCTCCTGTGCTACAAAAACATAGTTACGTGATTGCAAAGCCATGAGGTGTGCTCTTTGTGACTTCCATGGCTCCTCTACAGAAAGGAATTAGACTGGAATGAGGCTAGCAGGACCTCACTGGGACTTTGAGGGATGGCGTTCCTACAAGTACCTTATGTGGCTCTGTGCAAAGAAGGAGTGAGATGAGGCTAAACAGTCAATACTCTGATTCGTGCTATTAGAGATGCCTATTCTGCCTTCCTCTTTGAGCTCAGATCAATTTCCGGATTTTGGTACAAGAGTAATTGAAATTCTAGAGTTGTTTTAAAGAGAGGCAACCTTTCATCATTCCATATCAAATATTAGATTTTTATGTATTTTAATGAATTAAGAATTTAACCTTAGATGAGTAAACTGAAGAGAAATTGTATCAGTATCTTAAGATTCAACTGGAGTTTTGGCCATCTCTGGTAAGTCTTAATTAAGCTCCTTGTCTCTCTCCTTGCCTTTCCACACCTGGCGACTTCACAGGAAAGGGCAGAAAAGAGCATGGGAAAATGTAGCAAGCCCTTGTGTCCTCACTTGAGACAAAATATGCCCTGGAGAACACTAAAGTGGTTTTCCTTGAATGCTCTGTGAGCAGTGATTGGATGGTTCTGAATGCTACTTTCATTCATTGGACTCTCTCTATCTTTGTGCATGGCTTCCAACCAAATAATTCACCAGCTTGACTGCATCACTGACTTGACATGTCACCTTTCTTGTTTGTGTCCTTTGTCACCCACAGGTCAGCTTGCAAGGTTGAATGCAATATCCTTTTATCACTCTCCTCTCAAGTAAGTACCTTCTTTTTTAGGAGGAAACATGGTCACTGTACACTGAATTCTGATAACTTGTAGCCTAAATTCACTAAATCACTCTGTCATAGGTGTTTCTGTGTGATACAATACCCTCCTTTCCTGCTAATATCAAAGAAGCATCTCACTTTATAGAGTATTTCATTATACTCCAGTGGAAATTTACCAAACTTCTTTGGGAGTTGACATTTTTACTTTGTTGATTAGGAAAATTGGCATAGAAACACCGGAGATGTTCCAGATGCCCCTTTGGCTAGGAAGCTAAGGTAACCCCATCACCAGTTCATTGTGGCATCAGAGTATCCTCTCTGTGTTACTTGAGAAGGAAAAGATTCACTTGCTCTGCATCTCTAGATAGGCCATCTCCTTGATCTCCATGCTGAACTCAGGGTCTAAAAGACCAAAAGTCTGTACCTTAACAAGTGGAAGTAAAATCAAGTATCATTAAAGAAATGAAAGAATCAAAAGAGAGAAAAAATTCTTCAGCCTTTTGGAGAAAACTAATTTAAATCTATCATGGAATTCAGAAAGATATAAACTAATTTATAATAATATGTGTTATGTGATTCCCCCCCAAGGATCTATCCAAATACATGTAAAATACCCAGTAGTTTTTAATGTAGAAAGAATTATACATGGCTGGTAGGATCACTTAAATGCAGTGGTCTGAAGCTTGAACTCTATTAGAATGAATTTCAAATATGGATTTCACCAAATCCTAGCCACATAAATATGGGCAAATTATTAGACCTGTATTAGCCTCAGTTTCATACGACATATGTCATAATATCTACCTCATAGAGGAGCTGCACTCCCTGGAATATAGTTTTTAAAGAATGTGGCAGGGACTATAATTTATTATGAACATGTACAAATATTCCTGCCACTAAGCTCCATGTTTTCTAAGCAGTTTAATACCTAGAGCTGCTGTAGCAGCAGTGTAAGTGTATGGGTGCCTCTGAGACTCAGAACCAGCTGGCTCTCTCCACTTTTATAAACAAGGTCCAGACATGGCCATATGCAATGATGATTTGAAAGACCTTGGGCCACACTGTCCCATAAATCTAGATGGCTTCTCTGGCATGAGCTAATGGCCATTTAGATGTATCCCATTACAGTTCAAAGCTAATCACTTCCAACAGTAATCTGGTTGCAGTGGCCCAAGGACTTGTGTCTATTTTAGATATACAGTCCTTTCCAACCATGGAATTCCATAGTGCAGTTGATAATAAACTTTACCTACTATGGTTGCTAGCTTAAAAAGAGATATATATTTCTTCTGTATCTTAATTAGTAAAGAGCAAAGGTTAGCTTGAACACTACTGACCTCCTGTCTGAGTCTTCAGATTAAGATTAAGCGAAGTAAATTTTTATATAATTGCTATGATGACGTATACTTTATAAACTGTGAGGAAGGCTAATACTGACCACACTCTATTCTTCCTTCCTTAAATTTGAGCATGAAATACCACATCCTCTCTGGATTCATTATGACTAGAGTGGAAAAACTCCCAGGAGCAGTGTCTGAAAATATCCACTCCAATTATAACAAACCTAGTCTCAAAGGAGCAAGCCTTTTCCTTTAATAATAGTTCCTTTCCCTTAGCTCCAGCAATTTGGTCATTTTTGTTTTGTATATGTTTAAACATGAGTGGCTAACTCTTAGAAAAATATTTCCTTTTAAAAAGAATAGCTTCAATATAAACCTACATAAAATTGGCATTGGATTCTTCTTGTGCCTGAAAGTGAAAATTCTCAGTACTCTGAAAATTCTTAAGCCATTTATTAATCTTGTTGCAGATTTGACAGTGAAAGATTAAATAGTTGTGACATCAGCCATTTATTGCATCAGGTACCCTGGCTAGCTGGCATTCCACAAGACTAAACAGAACCAGCCTGTTGCTAAATGAGCCACTTAGGCAAAACTTCTTTAAAATCTAATAGAGCACTACAAAGGCTCGCAGTTTTTCATCTTTGTAGCTGTTCTATCCTATTATAATTTTTCTTAATATAGCCAAGAAATACAATTGAAATTTTAAAAGTTTATATTCTTAAAATATTTTTGTTTGGACTTTATGACTGTGCTAAAAATTATTCCAACATATATGCATCTCTTATCCACGGATCCTGAGCCAATGTCATCATCTTGATACCAGTCAGCCATCTGCCAAGGCAGAACCCTACATGGGTACGGAGCAGAAGGTGGGACACTAGAGACCTAGACAGCTCATTCTCTGCTCGAATAGCACTTAGGCCTATTTGAAAATAAATACACACTTAGCAACATACTAAACACATACACAGAGTACCTGGGTTACTGCTTTTCAACTAGCAACTTCTGAAGAAAAAGGATACATAGTGGTGAGTTCTCATCTTAGTGTTCTCCATTTTGGCCCATTCCCATCTTAGATTTTTCCCTTTTTCATCCTCTGGCCACATGGTATATCACTGTCCTTGGCCAGTCACCTCCTAACTTCAGAAATTGGGGGATTGAACCATAGAAAGTGGATTTTTTTAAAAATCCAGAGGGCATTGTGATGTTCACTATCTTCACCTTTTTTGCACAAAGGACAGCACAAATATTTCTGTTTGTGTTACTTAAACTTTCCTTATTGCTCAGATACCCCTTAAGAGAGAGATTCAACAAGGAGGACTTCCTGTCCTCTCTTCCAGAAAGTGTGGCAATGCACATTGTTTTAGGACATTTGTCCCTGATTGCCTGATTGGCATAGGAAGGAAGTACAGTGCATGTGTGTGTGTGTGTGTGCACACGTGTGTGTGCACGTGTGTGTATGTGTGTGTGTGTGTTGGTGAAAAGGAAATCCTAAGATTCATAACTCTGATTTAGAAATAGTTTTCATCTTTTAAAAAAATTACACATTCCTTATTCCCAGGCAAGCTATAGTCAGAGAGATGATGAAAGTAACATGAAAAGTGATGATGATGGAGAGCGATGTACGCACAAAGAGGAGGAAGACAGCAGCTGGCAGCAGCCTCGTCGAAGAGAGGAGCCACCACACCCAGCACTTCACGACAAACCCCACTCCTAAAGATGTGTTCTGATGCCTATAGTGCAGCTAACTTTTTGTTTTAAAATTTGTAGTTCATAGGTGTGTGTTTTAGAAGGGGGAAAAAAGACTTCTGTTCAAAGCTACTTTATCAGTTACATCTTCTGTAACATGGTTCATCCCTGAGAACCCATGCTGCTGTTACACACGATGGCAGTATTAACAAGCATTTTAAAACTTTGCACATGATATTGAACCTGTTCAGTTTACAATGACAATATTAATACTGTTTAGAGCTAGAAGTTTGATTCCTGAATTCTTTGAGATTTTAGCAAAACAGTTTATTATACACTGTACATTTTTTTCCACTGCAATTGGAAAAAAACAACCACTTGCAATTATCCACTAACCCTGAAGAATTTGGTTCCTGAGTGTTCAAACTCAGAGCCCAGAAGCCAAAAAGGGTCTTTGGTTTGCAGTTGACCCCAAGTCTCTGTGAGCAGTGACTTGAACCAAACACCAGGAATAATTCTTTGGGGCTTCTCCCAACTTGAGGTTGTTTTCTTTCAAGGTATTCTAACAAGTCAGCCATAGAATTTAGTGTAAATATTTTTTCCAAATAGATAATCATATTCAAAAAAAGACAACATTCAAATTATATAGAATCTAGTTTTTAAAATCAGCACAGATCTTCTTAAAAACTGTGAACTATGTTTTGAAATACTCGTTACTAAAGCTGTTTATAAACCACAGGTGCCATAAGATCCCCAAATGGACTATGCTCTTCCATGGTCTTGTTCTTCTTGTTTTAGCTTTAGGAAGCATGTCTTTAACAGCACCACGCAGTTCCCCTATCAGGTTGTTTGGAGGCCTTCAGCTTTAAATGTACAGGCTTAAAGTGCGCTTGCAAATGTTCACTCTCCTTGTACTTCTGAATGTTTATTGCCTTAGCTGGCCACCTGGTGTTCTGCATGCAGCATTCTATGGTCATGTGAGACAAGCTCTTCTGTATTGAGTTGGGATTTTGCACTCAGTGAGAAGCTGAAATGCAAAAGAACTGTCAAAGGCAAGAGGATAAAAGACTCTGTTGGTGCCCCTTTATGAGGGCCCTTGCTCTGAAGACCTCCCTTAGGGATTCTGGGGAAAATGGAAAAGAAAACTTGTATTTGTTTCAAGGTCTGAATAGGGGGACCCCCACAACATATTGGACATATTATGCTTAAATTAGCAGCTTCTCTGGAATTCCTTGTTTTCTTGTAAAAGAAAAAAGAGAACACCCTTGTAGAATAGTGGTTCTCAAAATGTAACCACCACACCAGCAGCAGCAGCAGCATCTGAGGATAACTTAGAAATGCAAACTCCTCAGTCCCAACCCAGTCCTGCTGAATCAAAAACTCTGGGGATTGGGCCTAAGAGTCTGTGTTTTAATCCAGTATCCAGGTGATTCTGATGCATGCTAAAGGTTGAAAACCACTGCTTTAGAATAAATTGTAGCAAAAAAAATCTCTGAAAAGGCCTTATTCAGAATGAGTAAGAAAGATTCTGAGTCAACTGCAATGCTTCAGCTATTCAATTTTGCTTCGGGGTCTGGCAAAAACCTTCTCTCACCCCACATACCTGGTCTGCATTGAAGGGTACCTGGCTGAGAACATGTGTTCTGATAACTTCAGGCTCCTTTTCAGAGACCTCTCAAATGTTCACACCTCTGCATTTGGTCAGAAACCATCTCCTTGGCTACCCTTTGGAACAAAATTGCTTGCCTTGGGGATAGTAAAATGCTTGACTGGCATCATTAATGACCCCATCCTGTTCCTGAATGTACTTACTCATATACTTCCCTCCAGAGAACCCTCCTAACAGATGTCCCTGAGCCCAGGCTAACACCAAAGTGGCACAAGTACATGGTTCTCAGATTTCTTTGCACACATGGATTGTATTGTGGGTGTTGTTGGTATGTCTTAATGTTCATCTCTCTTCCACTGCCCATCCTCTGAAACCGTACCTCCCTAGATGGAGCAGGTGGCCACTGGTGCCTCATACTCAGTACTGAAAACCACTACATCTCAGCTACTTACATTGCTGTCTGCTCAAAATCAGACCCAGGTAGTTCTTGAGCTCAGAACTCAGACCCTGCAAGTGGCAGTCAGCCACTGACTGGACTGAGCTGACATGTGTTGTCTCTTTGTGTTTCTACATCCAAATGTTTGTTTAAGGTTGGAACTGTTCTGCTGAAAACCTTCCCCTTGTCATAGTTTCCATTGCCAACCAACTCCATCACACAGGTGTTAATACCATCGTACAAAGCCATTGCAAGGACTCTGGAAACTGCCACCAGTGACCAATTTCTGACTAACCAGCCACCTTTTCTTTCTCTTAGCTCCACGTCAACACTGAGGCCAGACTCAAGCACCCCTGTCCTGTAACCGAGACAAAATGGCATGTGCTGTTTTGGGTTTTTGTGGTTTTTGGTGGGTTTCTTTCATTGGCTCTGCAAATTTACTTTTGGAGCCTATTCTAAGTACAAGACCAGCAAGTTTCATCTGTCCTGTCCATTAGATACAATTATGTCTTCAGGGGTTTGTTTCTTTCTTGTTTCATGGTGAATTGCACATTCGTCTCCATCAGAACTGATGGCCTATTAATGAGCACTGGTCTAACACAGTCAACCCTCCCCACAGCACCATGTTAATGGAGGAGGGGAAGAGGGAGAAATCTACTGTATAGGATTCAGGAATCCGTTGTGGTTGGTCAGGACGGAAGTCGGGGTAAGTTTGGTTGGTCAGAGGGAGATGTGCTGGAGATTATGAAAATAGATTCTCAGATGATCTACTATAAGGCAGGGAAGGTTCATTTGTAAGTAGTAACATGAACTGATATGCATTAAGAGTGTGGCCTTTGTTGTGATATACTACGTATTTTCTTATATGCATGAGCCAAACTGTTGCATCATAATTTAGCACTGATGTCTGCTTTTATTTTGATCATCTTCATCCTCTCTTATTAGTTCTTGGTTGTTAACTGTAGATAGATCTTGTAAATACGGCAACCTTTGGTTGCTGCATTCACCTTAGTCAATTCCATACAAGGAACTACAAACAAGAATTCCACTGTGTCCTCAGAAGAAAGGGCATTTTTACTGTTGAACCAAAAAGTGAAAAAAAAATCAGAAACATTACATCTTGAGGCTAATTATCTGTAAGACATTTTTAATTATGACTACTATAATTTGACACCATTTGAAATAACCAATCCAGAGATACTAAAGATTTCACAATATTCATTGGTGTTGTAACAAAACTACTATTGTATGGATTTTTTGTATTGCTGTTAAGTATTGTTTTTTGTGTATGTGTGTGTGTGTATGTATGTGTGTGTATGTATGTGTGTTGGAACCTCCTGGGGACATGTTATATTTTGAAGTGATTAAACTATTTAATTGTGTGTCTATATTTTGGAATGGAATTATTTCTTCATTAAAAATGTTTTTAAAAACACTGTATTGTGCATGTTTTGTTCCTTGGTTTCAATTAATGTCTCCTAGAGCAACACAGAATCAGTTTGTTCCAAGAAAGATAGGTCACCATTTGCCATATGGAGCAGGAACCACTGATGGAATCTGGAGCAACTGAGACAAAATAGCCCACCTCCTCCTATAAATATTTAAATATATATGGAGAAAGAGAGAGAGAGAGACTGCCAAAAAATGCATACACACTTCAGCAGTTCACTGAACTAATAAATGTCTGGAAGCTCACGGCCACTACTTTGAGCACCTGTTGTAATTGTAGAGGCCAAAGGTAACTTGTATTAATCTTAATATCATGGTGTCTCAATAAATTTAGTATTGAAATATTTATACAAGTTTTCCTACTTCTGATGCATACATTTTTGGTGGACTCTGCATATAGATATATTTGCAGATATATAGATATATACTTTAATTTCAGCTGATGGGATCATGGGAGTCCCTGAATTTATAGCAGGTTAGTGAGAAGTGTGAATGGCTCCACTAACTTATGACTGTGATCTTAAGTGGGGGCAGTCTTGTGGAGGATCTTGTCCACCTGTGGGGTGTGCTCTAACTCATGTCTGGAAGGCATGATTAACCATGTCGAATGCAGCTGGTAGGTCAAGTCAGATAAGAACAAGGGATCAACCCATCACATGTGTATTCAAATGAATTAACATAATATTTTTAAGAATTTCTTGGATAGTTTCGAGAAGTCCTATATCCTCAATGAAATCTTGAAAAGCACTGAGTGAAAATTCATGTTTGTTTTCCTTCTGAGGGCCTTGGGGGACTTGTGCCACACAGTAAATCTGTTTCCATGGCTGATGGGGTCCCAGGACAGGTTTCCACGTTCTTGTGCATGACAAAGAATTGGACATGGCACATGACAGTAAAGAAAAAGTAGCAATGTTTAAAGAATTTTAAAGGGAAACTGTTATGTTCAGAGCAAGTAGGCTCATGCCACCACAAAGAAAAATGGCCTGAGTGCTGGAGGCGTAGTGAGTTTAAGAATTTAAAATGTTGCAATGGGCCTAGGGCATCTCTCACTGGGTCTTTCAGAGCACGAAAAACATGATTAACACGGTGTTGAGTCATAGCAGTTGTATCTACAATGTATGACCTTTCCCATAATTCACTCTGTTGTAACTGGATGTATGAGATGCAGGCCATATGAATAAACCTTTAACAAGATCCAAGTGAAGAAGGTTATTATACTTCATGTCAGCAAGTACATTTTGTAAGTACACACATGCAAGTGCATGTCAGCAAGTACACATATGCATCCTAGTTTGGAGTTTCAGAAATTTCCAAGGATCTTTATTATTCTTATTTCTAGGTAGTGGGCCTTAGGACAAAGGTCACAGGGACTGGCCCTGGGCCATTGCCCATGTTCAGGTGAGTGAAGGAGAGTCATCCCATAGCCCCAATTGTACTATCTCCAGAGTCCACCCAAAAAAATGTATACACACTTCCACAGTGTGCTATACTAATAAATGTCTGGAGGTTAATGGCCACCATTTTGAATACCTCTTATAATTGTAGAAGCCAAAGGTGACTTGTATTAGTCTCATGATATCTCAATAAATTTAGCATTAAAATATTGACACAAGTTTTTCTTTTCCTGATTATACATTTTTTGGTGGACTCTGTGTATTAAATCCACAGAGTTGACTGCCATCTCCACACGCCCTCATGAGCCAGCTCACAGTCCTCAGTCCCATCTCCAGGCAGCTATCCTCAAAGACAACACTGATGATGTACACATTATGATAGGCTCCTAACAATCAAGTCAAAGAGGAAAATGTTACCCTAGTGATTCTTCAAATGGCTTTTTAATGAGAAGAGTATATAATTGTTATTTTTGGAAGAGGAACCTTTCTTTTATTATCTTTGGAATTTCATCTACCTCCATTCTTTTCAGAGAAAGAAAGGCTAAATTATAAAATTCTCTTGCTCTCTGGATATGTAAAATTAAAGTTTGAAAAATGGCTCTGCCATTTTGTAGCATTGTGTACACATTACTAATGATTGTTTTGAGAGCTAAATTAAATGAAAGGGTATATATGAAGCACTTAGGTACTACACTTGAGAGAAACTCAGGATATGTCAGAATTTTCCCTTTTTCCCTTGTGCAGCTTATCATTATCATTCATAAAATGGAGGCAATTGGATTTTTTAGAAAACTTACACAAAAATACATTTAACTTAAAAACAAATCTAACAAAATCTCTTCAACTTTGTTAGGAATAAAATGAATGGAAATTAAAACATTGTTATATCTATTTAAAAACCTATTACAGTGTATGAGCAAAAATTTTTAGCAGAGTCAGCAAATCTAGTCAAAGTGAAGTATTTGCTGCTGAGAATAAGCACCTTTCAAAAGTTTGTGCAAGAAAAGAAAGGAAAGGGAAAAAAGGGAGGGGGAGAGGAGAGAGGGAAGGGAGAAGAGGGATTAAAAAACATTCTTTATGACCCAATAACAGCACATCATGGACTTTCCCTTTAAAAAATTAAATTTTCGGACAATAATATAAATAACTTTAAAATATGACAACAAAAAATAATTAACAGAATCATGTACATCTATATGCAATATTTTTACATCATGCAAATATTAACATAAGCATCAAAATGGCTGTTGAATAATGAGAATGTAAAATGATACAGCATCTCTGGGAAACAGTCTGACAGTTTCTGAAAAGGTTCAACACAGAATTATCATATGATCCACAAATCCTACAGAAAAATGAAAACACATGTCCACACAAATTTTGTATACAAATATTCATAGCAGCATTATTCAAAATAAGAGAGAAAATGGAAATAACCCAAATATCAATCAATTGGTGAGTGAGTAAACAGAATTCGGTATATACATACAGTGGAATGTTATTTGGAAACAAAAAAGAATAAAGTAAATATTGAGTATCCCTAATCTGAAATGCTTAGGACCAGAAGTGTTTTGGATTCAGATTTTTTTTTATTTTAGAACATTTGCATTTACATGATGAAATATCTTGAAGATGGAACCCAACCCTAAACATAAAAGTCATTTGTGTTTCAAATATATAAGTATCTATCATATATAGAGAGAGAAAAAGTCCGCCCAAATAAAGTATGCACACTTCAGGAGAAGAAAAAGATATAAATATTTTAATACTAAATTTTCTGAGACATCATGAGATTAATACAAGTTACTTTTGGTCCCTACAATTACAACAAGTACTCAAAGTGGTGGCCATTAGCTTCCAAACATTTATTAGTGTGGCAAACTGCTGCTTGCATAACCTTGGTCATTGAGACTGCTGCACATGCATTTTCAATTTCATCTCCAAGAGCCAGCAATGAAGTGGGTTTTCTGTGATAATACTACAACTTCTATGGTCCCTCATATAAGAGTAACACCATCTGTTCAAAGAACATCATATTATGTTTATTTTTCTGGAGTGCATATACATTTTTGGCAGACTCTGTATATACTACCTGAAGATAATTTTATATCATATTTTTAGTGCACCTGCCTTTTGTTTTTGCTTTTTTAAGACAGTCTCTCCCAATATGTAGTTCAGGCTGACCTTAAACTCACTATGTAGCCGAGGTTGGCCTGGAACATTGATCCCGTCTTAGCTTCTTGAGTGCTTGGATTACAGTCATGAACCACCTCACCTGGCAAGTGCACTTGCCATCTGTATCTGACCTGTCACATGAAGGCAGGTGCGGAGTTTCACTTGTGGCATTATGTCAGCACTCAAAAAGCTTCAGATTTTGTAGCATTTTGAATTTCAGATTTTCAGATTAGGAGTGAAGCTGTACTGATATATGAAACATCATGGAAGAACCTTGAACACATGATGATAGGTGAACAAAGTCAGTCAAAACACACTGCATATTGTTTTATTCCATTTATATGAAATGTTCATAATAGGCAAATACGCAGAGACAGAAAGTGAATTCACAGTTGTTTAGAGTTGAAGGGTTGGAAAGAAAGGGGGTTTCTCTTTAGGAATGATAAAAATATTTTTAAATTAATTATGTTGATGGTTGCACAACTAGGTAAATTCAGTAAAATCACTAAATTTTACACTTTAAATGGATGAATTGTGTGCTGTGTGGATTAAATATCAATAAAGCTGATTGAATAATTTTAATGACAAGATCAACACATATCTCCTATAACAATCATTAAATTATTAAAGTAGGATTCAAAAACTGTGTCTAAAACACACAACTATATAAAACTATGTATAAAAAAGACCAGGAGCCACTGAGTGATATCTTTAAATGGCACAATTTTTGGAAAAATGGAGGAGATAACATTTGGAAACTAGAATAAAGATGAGCATTCCAGGTCCCTGATCTAGAAGATCTGAGAAAGCAGAATCCTATGCTGAGAACTTAGCAAAACTCTACAGAATCAGAAATTGGCACACAATGGCCCTGAAAATGGAGAGACAATCAGGAGGACTGTTTGAAAGCTTTTGAGGAACAGATTGTAGATCGCCCCTTTATCACCCACATTGGATGACTGCCCTTCCACTTCTGTACAAAACTGACATTTCCTACTATAAATAGAGCAAGACAGACATAATCTAACCTGGTCTAGGGCATTCTAATCCTAAATGAAGAATGAAGATTATACAAACACAAGTAATTTCATAGATCAATAAACACTATATTTTTGAGATACTCCAGCTGGAGTTCTGAAAGTCCTCATTTGTTTGTCTTAAAGAGTGATAAAAGATACACTGAATGCTGCTACCAAGTCCCATCCAATAGAAAAGCAGTTTTGTAAAAACATTATGATGGGTCCTCATTCACTTTATTCATTGGATCTACCACTGTGTTGCCCAATGTTAAAGTAGCCATGAAAGATAAACATTTTGAATTTACTCAGGGCATAGAGACAGCTATAGCAGTGAAATAGAACTTTCAAGACTGTTTCAAAATGTGGTAAGAATTAAGCATGTTCAAAGTGAGGGGGGTATT